CCAACCCCCCCCCCCAACACTAAATCTCTGCCGCCGCCGCGATCAGTACATGCCCTTCGACGGCAACAAGTGGCAGGTCAAGAAGCTGGTGTCTTACAGAGACCTCGTGGAGACGATCCGATCGAAGTATCCCGACTTCGCCAGGCTTCCGACCAAGGACGACGCCAATGACACCAGCAAGCACTGGCAGGTCCCCGGCCACAAGGGGACAATCGGCTTCATCACGAGGTGAGTTTGAATATCTATCCAACGGCGGTCGAAGTTGGAGATGCTCCGACTGATGGAATGGTCCTGTCCACCATTGCGATGTCATTCAGCATGACGGACAACTTTTGCGGCACCTGCAACAGACTCCGCGTCACCGCCGATGGCAATTTGAAAGTGAGTGATTGCGGCTCGACCCTCGTCCATCGTTGTACCGGCCGCGGCAATTCTAACCCTAGTCGATCTGCTCGCTCATCCTCCCGCTCGCAGGTCTGCCTCTTTGGCAATGCCGAGGTGTCACTTCGCGATGCGATGCGCCATGGCTTCGATGCCATCTCGCCTCTGATTCCCGGGTCGTCCAGCCCGGCGACGGACGAGCAGCTTCTACACATCATAGGTGCGGCCGTGGGACGGAAACATGCCAAGCACGCAGGAATGAAGGACCCCAGCGAGCTTGCTCGATCCGCCAATCGCCCGATGATTACCATCGGCGGCTAGAGGCAAAAGAGCAACGGTGAGCTTGGGGTTCCGCTTATCCTGCACGGCGTACTGCTTTGGCCACTGGAAGGCTTTCTGACCGTCATGCTCCGGCGACCGCTCTTTTCGCACCGCACTCGACATGTCAGGCTCGACAAGCACTCGCTCCCCGAAGACCGGGACAGCTCGCGCTAATCGCAGCTCGAGGATGCGAAGCGGATTCCTGGCGCCTCAGACGCGCCGGGCCTTTTCAACATCTTCACCAAGACGGCAGGGAAAGAAGCCTGACGAAGATATGGCCGACGACGACAGCCCGTGGGGCGACCTGGACTCTGCTTTCGACAAGCTCAGCAACTCGAAAGTGATGAAGCTTGACCCTAAGTCCACGCCGAGCGCCCCGGATAGCACGGCCGCAAAGCAGGACTACGACTTCGAGGAGGCCATCTTCGCCCAGGCCGGCGCAGCTGCCGTCGGCAACCCCTCCTCGGACGCCAGGCACATGGACAGCCTTGTTCCAGGCAACAATCCTTTCGGAGGCGCGACAGGGCCCCACATCCACCAATCGTGGTCCGAGTACATGGGCGGCGCTGAAGTGGGGGATGACTCGCCCTGGGCCTCGCTCGATGCATTCGCAGACCAATCGTTCGACGCTAGCGCGGTTGCCACGCCGATGCATACGCCGTTCGGACGTGCCCAGGCTGCTGTGCAAAGCACGCCCCGGTTCCACTCTCAGCCAACGGAAGGAACGTTGCATTCCGGCGCATACGGGCAATCCGGCACAGCACAGCCGTACACGCCGGCCGCCGCCACGCCATATGCTGTCCCCGAGTCTCATGTGGCGCAGGAAGTTCTATCGTCCGACCCGCAAGCGGATCTGCGGCCTCGTTTGACGCACGTCGAGCCGGGCAGCGGCAGAGCGGCAATGGTCGACGTTGGCCACAAGGCCTACACTCGTCGCACGGCCACCGCCACGGGGCGAGTCTATCTGCCCAGTCACACCATCGAGCTCATCAGGCAGGCGGAAGGAGGGGAGGCTGGCGAGACGAGCCTGACCACCCTCACCAAGGGTCCCGTCCTACACACCGCCCAGCTTGCGGGCATCATGGCCGCCAAGAAGACGTCGGACCTCATTCCGCTCTGCCACGGCTTGTCGCTGTCGCACGTCGACGTTACGCTGAAGCTGGTCGATGCCGCACCCGCGCCGTCAGGTTCCGCCGCGCAATCCGGATCTGGCAGCCCTCTCGTCCCGGCCGGATCACCGGAGACGGGCATCACTGGCTTCACCTTGGACCAGCTCGACGATCCCGATTCGTGGGCCTCGGCGCTGTCCGAAGAGCGAGCCGGGCCGTCTCCGGCAGCGTCGGGTACATCGTCGCTGGGCGCAGGGGCGGGCTACGTCGATATAAGCTGCACAGCAAGCACGAGCGGACAGACGGGCGTCGAGATGGAGGCCTTGACCGGGTGCACGGTGGCTTGCCTGACCATCTGGGACATGGTCAAGGCCGTGGCGGGCAAGGAAATGACGATTGGCGATATCAAGGTGGTGCGCAAGACGGGCGGCAAGAGCGGTGACTGGACGAGGACGTTGGCTTGAAGAGGGCCATCGTGGAGGCCTGTACGGCACTCTCAATCCGTGCCAGCCCCCTTTTTGCAAATGACGCTTCATGCACCGCGGCTCACACGCCTGATCGCACCAATGACTGATCTCACCGAAGACTGTTTTGAAAAGGTATGGATTCAGGCAGTGCGGCCTGGCTTGTGAAATGAGCGTACGTCTATACTACAGGGAGCGGAGCGAGGGGCGATGATGACCAGTGCACGACGAAGGGACGGACGAAGCGCCAGAGAGGGTGGAGCAGCCCGAGGCTCAGAGGGCGAGGGCCTCGAATCCACCGGCCTTGTTGATGGCCCTGCGGATCTCGCCGGCCGTCTTTTGGTGGACATTGATTCTCCTGTCCTTTGCCATGCTCTCGATGTCCTGGCCGTGCTTCTGCACCATTTCGTGGAGCCAGGTGCGCTCTGCGGTCGAGGTATGCCGGATGACGGGGGCGGCCTGGGCTTCGAGCTGCTCGAGGGCCTGCACGATGGGGTTGCCGTCCTTGTCGAGGTTCGACTTGGGCGGCATCCAGTTTTCAATCTGTTCGTCAGAGTCGACGATGTCCTTGAGCGGCTTTCCCCACGGCGTCGTCTCTTCGTCGTCTGCGGCCTCGATGATGTCGACGACGTTGCCCTCGTCGTCGCGGATGATGCGGGCCATGCCCTTCTTGGGCTTGCCCGATTCTGCTGCCGCTGCCGCTGCGGCCGCCGATGCTGCGGCGATGTTGGCCGGGTGGTAGGGGTCGGATCTCTCTAAGCCTCCCGACTGGTTGTGCGAAAGCGAGGGGAGCAGGCCGAGCTTTGCGTAGCTGCCCGGTGAGGGCGAGGGCAGAGCAGCCGGGGAGCGTCGTCAGCAAGCCGAGCGCGCGCAGACGAGGTGCGCGAGGGAAGTGCATGTTACCCACTTTTGCCTGACGGTGAGCTTCTTGTCCCACGAGTTCTTGAGGACGTCGGGCCCCTTGATTTCGGGTGCGCGGACGAGTTTCTGCTGGAGCTTTCTCTTTGCGCTGGCCGAGGGCTTGTTGGAGGTGCCGGATCGGCTCTTTCTCCTCTGCCTCGGGTTAGCCATGGTGTGTTGTGGTAGGGTGGGTGGTGATTCGAATACGGCGAGGCAAGCGAGACGAGGACAGAGGGTGAAGGCTGTTGTGGATTGCAGAGGCTTGGTGGAAGTGGTGGTGGTTGTCAGGAGTGGCGCAGGAGAGGGCCTGTGTGTGGCCATGGCCGTGGAAATCTCAAATTTTGCGGCAGGCGTGCCTGGCAAGGGTGCGGGGGGACAAGTTCCGAGTTCCGAAATCAGAGGGCGGCGCTCTTGGCCTGCGTTGGCTGGCCTCGGTGGCTTTCGCGCGAAAGCACCGTGGCTGACTGGCCCCGACAGGGCACTAAGCTGGCACAGGCTGGCCTGGCCTGGCCTGGCATAGCGCTTTCAGAGGTTGGGCCACGCCAAAGGCGTACGTACGCCCATGCAGCCCTGCAGCGTGGCCCCCCACCGGTCCACGGGCAAAGGCGGGGGCCGAGCAAAGGTGGAGGATCAAGGCCTCGGGGTGGCAGCCGACCACCATCATCCCAAGCCATCCCTGCCTGGCCAGCCCGCCGCAACCTCTTCACACCTCGTCCTGCTCAACACACTACTCTATAGTCCGCGTCACTCGCCACCATCGCATCTGCATGGCATGGCCGCTCTCCGCATCCGCCCAGTCGGATCCAACACCACCGCCTCACTTCCTCGCCCCTATCGCCTTCGCTGATACATCTCGGTTCCCGTAGATGACACCACACCGTCGATCCCTCCGCATCGAATAGGTTGCCATACCCTCGTCGCTCATCACGTCTCACTACGCCTCCTGCCTAGCGGCGTCAGCGGCCGGATTCACTCTCCATGGCGCTCCTCACGGTCCTGCTATTTGATTTCCTTCTCCTCGTGGTCCTCGGCAGGCTGGTGTACAAGTCATCTCACTCAATCCTGCTAAGCATCCTCAACCGCATACAGTCCGCAGCAGATCGAGGCGCTCAAAGGCGCGCACAGGTTCACGCCTCTTCCACCGCACCAAGATCCATCCCCGGCGACACTGCGCGCCCCGCTACACAGACTAGCGCCCGCCTACACCGTCGAGGCGGCATCCGAGGAACCGTAGTCGAAGAGAGCGACGCTGATCGAGACGCTCCGGAAATTCCTCTTACACACCGGCACCTTCTCAGCCAGCGGGTGCAACAGCGCCTGTTGGCCCTGGAACGGCGACCTCCTCCACTGGCGCGCCCTGACACATCTTGCCACGCCGACTGGATCGCAGTATCTGATCCCACCACCCGGCTTGAACTGCCCTACTCCCCCAAGCTCATCGGTGTCGCACACGCCCTCTGCCTGGAGCTAGCCGCGACGCGGCCTGTTCGGTCCATGCTGGGAGCTCTCGCAGCCACGGTCGGCTACCAAGGGGCAGTCAAGCCTCACAGCGGGGTCGGGCCGGACATTGGCGCCTTTCGACGTTTGCCGCAGGAGCTGGTCACTGAGATCATACTGCAATCGGCCGCTCCCAGCCTATCGCCCGAGGAACCGCAGTCGTCGCCGGTCAGCATCCTTCTGCTGTCCAAGCAGTATCACAAGCTCCTGCTCCCCAAGCTCTACCATACCGTCTCCCTGCACAACGCGTTCGCATTCCGCAACTTTAGACTCACCCTGGCTTTGCACAACCCCTCTCTGGGCAAGCTGGTTCGAAGGCTACAGATCGGTTCGGCCCAGTTTGACTCGACCGGATACATCCCCGGCCAGCTTGCCGAACAGGGCCCGCTCGCGACGGGCATCGAACAGATGCTTCTGGCCACGCCCAACCTCCTGGAGCTGTCCATCGACCTATTCTCCCTCGTCGCGCTGCACGCCGGGACCGCCTCGCGGCTCGAGAAGGGTTGCCAGCCTCTGCGCCTCTCGACCGAGCTCTGCGTCATACCCTATCTGAGCCTTCCGACCTTTGAGGATCTTCGCGACCTCGAGCTGCTCGTATTTGGGCTGGACCGACAAACGGCATTCGAACTGCGCGTCGCTCTCCCGCGCCTGGAGCGCCTGACGCTGCGCTTCGTCACCCGTCGCCGATCCGACCGGGCCAAGAGGATCGTCTCGACGCAGCCTGGAGGCGCGATCTCCATCGACCACGCAGCGCTCCTCGACGCAGACAACCTCGACGACGAGGACGACATCTTTGCAAGATCCGAAGACATCGACGAGTTCATCGAATCTCTTGAGCTGCTTCGCACCTGGCCGGGACAGGACAGCAGCAGCGGGCGGAGACTCTCGAGTCTCAGCGTCTTTACGTGGCCGTCGGCGCTTGCCGCCCTCAAGGCGCGGGTGCCTGACGCGCGTGGAACCGACGAGCACAGCTTCGACGTGGAAGCCGAACCCGGTGCTCGATGCGAGGACAGCGATGCCAAGGTGGACTCAAAGGTCGATACAGATGCGCCGCCTGCGCCTCTGTATGCTGGCATCGACACGAGCTATCTCCTGGGTCCTCGTAGGGGCGCGCACGTACTTTGGCGCAAGACCCGCGCCAGCATGGCCTGGTCCTGAATTCCTCCCCTCTCCCAGTCGCGCACTTGCCCAATTAGACGTTCCATTGCAAAGGGCGGTCGCAGTACCTTGGCTAACCGGAAGTAGAGACATGGAGGGCCATTGTTGCTGCCGTGTTTCCTGGCTGCACGCCGGGATCACATGCGCGAGATGCGCCACCCGAGCGGTACGACGGTCCAGACAAAGACGGCGACCAGGACGGGCGCTGCCTCGAGGCCTGCAAAGAAGCCCTCGTCGGTGGCCGTCTGGCTGTAGATGCCCTCGATGGCCTCTGCCAGCCGGAAAATGGTGCGCAGGTAGATAAAGAATGACGAGACGGCCATGGTGGCGAGCAAGAGCCTGTCGGGCCTCACCCTCGCTGCACCAGCTGCGCTTCGCCGCGGCGTCGTCGTTGTCGTCGCCGACGCGTCCTCGAGACGTTGCTTTTCGGTGGACGCGTCGTGGTCGTCGGTGCGCTGACGCGAGAGGTTGAAGACGAAGATGGCGAAGACGATGAGGAAGACGGTGAAGAAAAACGTCTGCGCCGCCAGGCCGGCGGTGAGGATGTTGTTGGCGGCCTGCGGCGAGAGGGGCGGGTCCTCGTTGTCGGCGATCTTGGACTGCGCCACGCCGAAAAGGGCCGCGCCCGCCACTTGCATGATGATGGTGATGGTGTCAGCGATGACAAATACTGTGGTGCGGGTGCGAAGGGGGACCGAGAGGATGTCAGCTTGTCTGGCCGGTCGCGGTTGGGGGGCCAAGAGCTGCGAGCGAGACTCACGTGCGATCAGCACCCTGGGGCCCAGCGGGCAGAGACGTTGCAGCGCCGGATCGGTCCGGATGATGGTCGCGAGGCCGAGGTAGATGGCAGCCGTAAAGAGGACAGGCGCCTGCGGGTGTGTCCAAAACAACGCGACGAGCAGCAGGACGCCGTGTCAGCCAACTGAACCATCGCACCAAGGTCCTCCCTGCCCCCGCGTACTCACGCAGACGATCATAAAGTATTGGAGGATGAAGGCATTGAGTAGGAAAGGATTGTAGTAGCTCTTGACCCTGAAGGCGTACCCGACGGCCTCCATGAGGCAGCCAAACGAGAGGAGGAAGCAGAAGATGCGCACGTCGGCGCTCTCTGACCTCCTCCTCCTCTTCCGCCCCTCAATCGCCCCGGCGCCATCCGCGTCCGAGGTTGCCGATTCGACCGAGGCGATGTGCTTTTCGTCGACGTCGTCCCGTGCGCGCGCCGTCGGCCCCCGACGACGACGACGAAAGAGGCGCCCGTCAAAGAGGCCGTAGAGGAGCTGCGCGAGGCAGAATACACCAAAGATGATGGTGCATGCGAGGCCGAGAGAGAGCGAGGGGATGTAGCCGTAGATGATGATGCTCGTCTCGCCGTCCGCCGGGTTCGGGTTGCGCGGTAGCGAGGGGTCCATCTTGAGTCAGACGTGTGGGCCTGCTGGGGGAGGAGGACAGAGGGAGGATGGGAGGTGGCGGCGAGGACAAGTCGCGGCGGGTGGTAGCTCTTATAAGCACCGACCGAGTCCTCCTCCCGACGAGGGAAGGGTACCACTTCTCTCTCTCTCTCTGTCTCTCTGTGTCGCGATGAGCGAATTCGCTCGGCCACCACCAGGTACCGCACAGCAAGTGCACAGCTTACCAGCTCCGATGGCTGCACCCCATTCCACGTGGAAAGGTAGGAGGCTGGAGTAGTAGTGCGCCGTCGGTCCGCGAAAGAGCCAGCCAAAGCAGGCAGGCGGCGAGGGCGGCCGGCTGAACGCCGGGCGCGGTGGAGCGTGCCGTTTTTCTTGGCAGGCCAGGTTCGATTCCGAGTCGGCAGGATCGGAAGGGCCAGACCAGGCCACGCCAGGCCATGTCCGCGATCGGCAGCGGCGGCCTCTGCGTCTTTGGTCGCACTCCGCTCGTCAGTCCGAATCTTTCTGCAGGGCCGAATCCCGAGCTTCTTGCTGCCGCCTGGCCGCGGACGAGTGTCGCCCGGCGGATGGTGCGCCACGTCTGCCCCCCTCAGCCAGGCAGATGACGGAAAGGAGACTGACCAAACCGCGGGGGCGCCTGGTCTTTTGATTCGCCAACATAACGTACAATGCGCAAGACGGAAGGACAGAGCGACGGTCATGCCGCCGCTCGACCGTCCGTCACCGCTTTCTAGGGCGAGGGGCCCGCCGTGAGCTCCTCACTACCCTGCTACTCTTGAGAGATCTGAGGCTAAATGTATGAGTGCGGTTCTATAATGAGGAAATCGTGAATGCTTGGTAGTCGTAGTCGTGCGTCGGATAGGCAGACGAGGCAAGTCCGGGTCGGAGACCTCGTGCCGGGGGCTCGTGCCGTGCCGTCGCGCCCTAGGCCCACCGACCCAAGAGGGCCATGAGTCCGGCGCCCAGCAGCATCTCGCCGACGTTGAGCATGACCTTGCCCAGCGGGGCGGTGCGGATCTTTTCGTTGAAGATGAACTCGTGCGCCAGCAGCTCCACTGTCCCCGTGTAGAGCAGGATGCCCGCCGAGACCGAGTCAAACACGCCCGTCACGTAGCTTGCTGTCGCCGACTCTTCGTTGTACGTGTGACGGATGCCCAGGCCGATGGCGAGCCCGATGGGCGTGACGAGCCCGTAGGCGATCGCGCCGACGTAGGGGATCATCGACTTGAGCTTGAGCGGCAGGAAGGCCAGGCGCGAACCCAGGCCCAACCCTTCAAACATCTGGTGGAAGATGATGACGATGAAGAGGATGGTAAAGTCGCTCGTCGTCCCCAGCGTGATGCCGATGATGACCGAGTGGAAGATGACGCCAAACTCGAGGATCATGACGCCCAGGATCTCGGAAGCGGCGGCGGAGAGGGGGACAGACGCATGCGAGCTCGCATCGGTCTCGACGCCCGCCTTCTTGATGGCCGAGTCCTCGGTCTCGTTGCTCTCGAGGTCGCGGGCGTGGTCGTGGGCATGGGCGTGGCTGTGGCCATGGCTGTGACCGTGGGCATCCGAATGGTGATGGGCGTGGGCACGGTCGTGGGCGCCGACGTGAACGTGGTTGTCGGCCGTGCCGATGTGCTCCAGAGCATGGTGGTGACCGCCAACGTGAGGGTCGTACGCCAGGTTCGATGCAATGTGGCTGCCGAGGCGGAAGGCGAGGAGTTCCACAATGAAGACGACGAACATGGAGATCATCGCGATGGCGAATGGGAACGCATCGTAGTCCTGCGGTGGTGCGGCGTGGGGGTGCAAGGAACAGACGAGAGGCGGTCAGCTCTGGCCCTCGACATCTCGATGTTGCTGGGGCATCCCCTGCCAACGTCAACGCACCTGGAACGCCTGACTGAGGCAGGGACTTTGCAGCTCCTCGACGCCCGGCGCGAGGAGGTGGATGAAGGCGGTGGCGATGATGACGCCGCTGCCAAAGTACTTTGCAAAGTCAAAAGCAGCCGCCGGAATCGACAGCCGTGGAACCCGCTTTGTGACGATGGGGAAAAGGGTGACGACGGTGGCAGAGGCCCAGAGGATGAAGATCGCGCCGATCCGGAGGCCGATGGAGCCCTGCCAGGCTTCGTCTCTCGGCCCGCGGCAGTTGAGCTCCACTTCAGCCATCTTGCAAATGGGTATGATGAGAGGGAGATGGGCGACGGGGACGGAGGGCAGCTGATAGGGGGATGAAGGTGATGGCTGCTGACGGGGGGAGAGTGGGCTGCTGCTGGAACCGGAGGCCGACGTGCTCTATAAGACGGTCGAAAGATGGACGACAATGACGGATCGCGTGGCTGCTCGATGTCGAGACGAGAGTCGAGGCGAGGCGTAAGGAGCTGAGCTAGCGTAGTACGGTGGGCGCTGAAGGCCTACCGCAGGAGGAAGAATGTAGAAAGGAGAACCTTGCTGGTAACTAGACGCGGACTGCAGGGAGACGTCGGTGGCGGGTGCAGGAACAGCGTAGCGAGCGAGACTTGCCGACGGCAGCGTGGCGAGACGTCTGCGGGAGAGAACAGCAGCGGACGGTGGGGATTGAGGCGGAGAGTTGTCGTGTAGGACCGAGTCGCTACCGGCAGGTTAGGATGGCACGAACGGATGCACGCTGCCGTTGCCGGGGGAAGAGGGGGTGCCGGCGGAAGGGGGTTGGCGAGAGGGACGAGGGGAGGGGAGGGGACGGGGGCAGGATGCAAGTCGTCGAAGAGCGGTGAGGGGAGAAGGGATGGCAACAGCAAGCAAGCAAGGAAGACGGTCACCCGAAGGATCCGCCGACCAACCTTGAACGTTCCGAAGAGGAGCGCTCCGCTTGGCCTGACGAGGCTCACTGGCCGGCCGGTGACGAGATCGCCGTGGCTGGGCTGGACTGCGGGTTTTTGGCCTTGGCCTCGAGGAAATTTGAGAACCCTGCCAGTCTTCGCTCGTCGTCGCAATTTAGATGCCTCGCTTCAAGCTCGTGCGTGACCCGCGAGCATTTCAAATCAGACGTGTGGCTGGCCGGTTGCTCGATTTCAGCGCTGGAGCCACCCTGCCCAAGACCAACTGTCGGTCAAGAGCAACGGTGGGCCGGTGCTTGGCTCTCGTGCAAAAGGGGACAATCCCCAACGCCACCCTACTGGGCCAGGAGCAAAGGGCAGCAGCAGGCAGGATCGGGCAGATAGGATCGGGTTACGAGGGCACCACATGGGCGGAGTGACGGAGTGGTGTTAGCATCTCATACAGTGCCAATGGCCTATGCACTCCTCGATGGGCCTGTGCTCAGGTATATGTAATATGTGATTGCAGTAACAGCAGTTAGCGCATGATATGGCACGGGGCAGGCTACAGGAGCGACGGCGAGGATGGAGCAGCGCCTCAGTGGGGCAGACGGTGGAGCGCCTGGTCGTACTTGGAAGGCATGTGGCAGCTCAGCATGGTGCGCGAAAAGATGATCTGTCCAAAGACGTTCTTGAGGCTTCCCGGCCTGTCGTCGATCGAAAAGAGGCGGTCGCGATCGATGCGGGGCGGCGAGAGCGCCGCGCCGTCGTGACCGTTGAGGTCGCTGCTGGGCAGCGAGTAGAGGACCTTGCCCGGCGGGAAGAGGTGGGTGCCGTGCATGTTGGCCTCGAGCGTCTTGCGCAGCGAGAGAAAGTCGGCCTCGACCTCGGCCTTTTCGCCAGTCTCGCTCGAGTCAAGACGGCCCGCCTGGTGCTCGAACGCCTTGCGCATCAGCGAGCTCATCTTCTTGGGCCCGGCGCCCTTGCCCTGCGGACGGTCGACCTGCTGCCTGGACGCCTCGGCGTCCTCGTAGCAGAGCCAGGCGCAGCCGTTGCGGATGTCCTGGATGGCGCCGAGCGAGAGCCGGGTGACAAAGTCGTACGAGTAGACGTGGCTCGTCACCAGGGCGGCGCACTTCCTCGCCAACGACTCGCTCGCAACGCACGGCACCGCGTAGCAGTAGCTGTGAATCCGGCGGCCAGCGGGCAGCCCGCTCTCGGCAATCGTCAGGCCCGTTGTGGGATTGCCCCACATCATGGCCAGGATGCTGGCCACACCCGCTCCCAGCGAGTGACCGGCGATCTCGAGCGAGTAGCCACCGTTCCTGGTCAGCGCCGATGCGACGGCTCGGTTGACGGGTCGACCCACGTCGCCGATCTCCTTGGCCGTGATCAGCATGCCTTCGTGGCAGAAGTCCTCGCTGTGGCCGTGCCCGGCCGGGGCGCCCGTCTCATTCGTGGATTCGGCCACGTCTCCGACGCTCGGATGGAAGGTGAAGGGCACCGATTCGCAAGTCAGATCCGCCGCAAAGTCGCCCATCGACAGGCTCCCTCGCAGGACGAGGATGATGACCTTGCGCGGGTGATCCGTGACCACGTAGAACCGCGGCTTGCTCGGCCTCGCCTTTCCGCCCGGGTCAGCACGGGGCACATGCTCGTCGTACGAGCCTTCCTGCGCCGCGCCCTTCTCGAGGTTGGCGGTGCGATGGAAAAGGTCGTTGTCGTGCTGGCCCGAGATGATATCGAGATAGCTGTAGGCAGTGCCCTGCGGCCTCGTGGAGCTCTGCCCGCTTGCTGGTGATGGCGAGACTTCGAGCTGTGCAGGTCGCGACGCCGGAGTCGCTATGCTGGGGGTGGGGCTGGGACTGATCATGGCGCCCGGCATCCTGCCACATGCCGACTCCTCTGCGTCCGACTCTTCAGGCAGGTCCATCGACGCGGCCGCCTCAAGGAAGTCGGCCTGGTCTCGGGACAGGAACTCTTCTTCTGCGGAGAAGATCGTGGTAGGACCGTCGGGGCGATTCCTCGCTTCGACCGCACCGGAGGCAGCCTGTTGTTCAGCGGGAAGCGTGCCGAGCCAAGCTAGCGCCAGCCCGCCGTACACGCCAAGGACCAGCTTCGAGTACCTCTGGAGACCTCGCAGCGCCTCGAGGTTGGTGAGCGGCCGGGCCGTGGAAGAGTGCGGCACAGCAAAGGTCGACGTGCCTTCCTGCTGCTTCGAGCCGATCTCTGCGCCGATGATGTTGCCCTCCTGGCCCGACATCATCTCCTTTGACGTGATCCGCACGGAATCGCGGTCGCTTTCCGGCTCACGCGCAGGCTCGCTGTTACTGCTGTCGGCGCCCCCATCCGTCACGGCGCCGACGACTGACGGTGTCGGTTGGGTAGCCTCCTTGCGCGCCAGTTCTTCCTTCTGCGCCTCCTTGAGCTGCACCTCCATCTCGTTGAGGTCGATCTCGATCATCGACTTGAGCATGCGCCTCTCCTGATAGTCGCGGGTGACGAGCTGGATGCAAACCCAGGCAGTGAGGGCCTGAGTGATGCCAATGATTGAATAGGCGGGGATACCACCGGGCGGCAGAGCGTCGTCGTCGGCGTTCCACTCGCGCTTGACCAGCTTGGAAAACTCGGACAAGCTCCGGAGCACCTCGCTGCCCATCCACCTCCGCAACCCCTCGACGCCCGTCCCGGCCGCGCCCAGCCCGGCGCCGGTGATGGCACTGGTAACATCGATGCCGCCGAGGGCGACCATGCTGATGGCGTCGAAGAAGCCTCCGACGGTCATGTGGGCGACCTTGGCTAGCGAGGGCGTCCCGTCGTTGCTCCCTGGAACAGTGCCGGTCAAGGCGCCGTCGACTGCCATGGCGGGAAGCGCCACTAGGCCCTGGGTGATGCGCTTGGCGAGGTTGAGCCCAAAGGCAGTGGCGCCGCGCGCAAAGGCGAAGCCGGTCGACGATGCGCTGTTGGCTGCACCAAGACCCTGGGAAGAGTAGCCAAGCAACGTCGACCAGTCCATCGACGATGCAGGTGCCTGGACGACTGTCCCTGGGTTCGCCAACATGACAGAGCCCGGGTGACCTTGTGTTTCGGTCGTGATGGGGTCTGGCGATGATTCGTTGCCCTCCTGCGCTGGTGCAAGAGATGATGAAGAGGGTGAAGCTGCTTGGTCGGCGGGCGCAGAGTCATCGTCGGTATCCGCTGGGGCTGGGACTGTTGCTGTTGCTGCGGTGGCGATGGCTGCGGCGGCGGCGGTGTCGGAATCGGGTATGGCGAGTGCAGCTTCTTGTAGGCTCTCGAGCTCGCCCTCCTGGGCCTGAGCTGCGGCATCACGCTCCTGTTCGAGCGCTGTGGCGTGGTCCGGGATGGCGGCGGCAGCAGTGGTCCCGCGATCGTCTGCTGCTTCTGGGACGCTCATGGTGGAGGCGTCGTGTGAGGGCGGGCGAAGGGACGGTGATTAGGGGTGAGGAGGAGAGATACAGGGGCGCTGAAGTCGATGGCACGTGGGGGTCGTGACGGCGGTGGTGGTGGGGAAGGAGGTGATGGGGAACGGGAAGGTGGTGCTCTGTGGCACCGTGACCCACCCGCTGAGACCTGTAGTCCATGCATCTTATAGGAAGCCGGCGCGGAAGGCACAGCTCGTTTGGGGGCCAACGACGAGGCGCACGGAGAGGGATCGCCGTCGGTTCACGACGTGGAGGCCAAAGGGTGGCGTGGCATCTTCACATGCAAATTCCTCTTTCCCCCGCCCAACGGCCATCCCAACAAAAAAGTCTCGAGTTCTCGCCATGCGCGCTCTTCTTTCAGGGTCCAGACGCTGCCCTTCCTGCCTGGCTGCTTGCTTTCCGCTGCCACGACTGCAGCGGACATGGGGTAGGCAGGCTCAACACACGGACCACGTACCACCGCCCAACGACCTGCCCTCGAGCTGCCCGTGTGGCTTTCAGGCGCTCATCCACGCCCAGAAGGCGTCGACGACCTCGCTCAGCTCGCGCTCGACGCGGGCCACGGCCACGCTGTACTCCTCGCCCTCCTGGATCAGGCCCATGGCCTCGTTGTAGATCTTGACCTGCGAAGCGGGCACGCGGGCACGCGGGAGCGAGACGACATCAGACGGCGGACGCGGGTGTCAGCGGGTGAAAGGGGCCTATGCACGCGCAAGCCATGACGCTGCTCACCTTGGGCTCCGTTCCAGAGGGCCGCACAATGATGCGCGTATCGCCGAGCATCACCTCGTCCTTTGGCCGGCTCGTGGCGGCGGCCGGGTCGACGTGGCTGGCGGGCACATAGAAGCGCAGGACGTCGTTCTTGGGGATGCTCAGGTCGCCCTGGGCCGCCTTTTCCGCGTCGTAGGCCGGTCGCTCCTTGAGGTCGTCGACCAGGCTGAAGGCGAACTGCTTGCCGTCCTTTTCCACGCTCGTCTTGCCCGCGTCGAGGTCCTTGCGGAGCTTGGTCATGATCTCGGTTCCCTTTCTTCCCGGGGTGAGCTTGATGATCCTCTGGCTGGTGACAGAGACGCCGACAGTCTTGTGGATCTCCTCGAGCCGGTCCCAGAGCGTCTTGCCCTGCCTCGCCAGGTCAAAGGCCAGGGAGACGATCAAGAGGAACGACGAGAGGCCGTCCTTGTCCCAGACCGACCGGGCCACCATGTAACCCAGGGCCTCCTCGTAGCCAGCGCCGAACGCTCCGGGACCTTCCCTGGCCTCGATGCCCATCGCCACGTTGCCGAGCCACTTGAAGCCGGTGAGCGTCTCGACGTGTCGCCCGCCCCAAAACTGCGACATGCGCGCCAGCAGCCGGCTGGAGACGATGGTGCTCAGCGTGTAGACACCCGCCTTCTTGCCGCCTCCGTTCCTGGCATCAGCGCGGCGCAGGATCTCGTCGCCCAGAAGCGTGCCGAGCTGGTCTCCGTTGAGGGCACGCAGCTTGCCGGTGCGGTCGCGCGCCGAGACGGCAAGGCGGTCCGCGTCGGGGTCGTTGACGATGGCGAGATCCGTCTTGTGCTTCTCCGAGAGCTTGTGGTTGAGCTCCAGTGTCGAGAGCTCCTCGGGATCTGCAGGCAGACACAATGTGTGAGACGGAATGATACAAGCTTAGCGCCTGTCTCGCCAGGATAGCATGGTACTCGGCGTCGAATGAGAGAGACTCACTGGGGAACTCGAGGGTCGGAAACGCGCCGTCGGGGTACCGCTGCTCTTCGACGATCCAAAAGTTCTCTCCCTCGACAAAGCCGGCCACCTCGGTGGCAAGCTGCTGGATAAAGGGTCCACCGACACCGTGGAGCGGGCTGTAGGTCATGGAGAGTGGCACCTTGTCGCCCGCGCTCGACGCTGAGCTGAAGATCTGCAGGTCCTTCATGTCACGGATGTAGGCCTCAAACATCTCGGGCTCGATCTCGCGAACAAGGCCGCTCTTCTTGGCCTCGTCCAGGGGCACCAGCGCTGGCGGCTCGGTTTCCTTGGCCACCTTGTCGATCTGTGCAGCAATCTGCGAGTCGGTGGGCGTGTTGATCTGCGTTCCGGCTGGGCCGAACACCTTGTAGCCGTTGTACTCCTTGGGGTTGTGGCTCGCGGTGACGACGATGCCGCCGGCGAGGCCAAGCCTCTTGACTGCAAACCCGCACATGGGAGTCGGCGTAGGGGTCGGGTAGATCTGAGAGGGGATGCCCCGGTGAGCAAAGTGCTGGGCCGAGGCATAGGCGACTGGACAAAGAAGTGGGAAGGCACGAGGGAAGAGGGCGTCAGATACCCTGCGCTAAAGGGGACCCATCCTAGAAGTCTCTGCGGGGTCGGTTCCTCGATCAGCGCTGGGCACTCACACTCCTTGCTGCCAAAGCGGCCGTCAAAGGCGATGGCGACTCCCTTGGACTGCGCCTTGGCTCCATCCGTGTCCAGGAGGTGCTGTGCGAATCCAGCCGTCGACTCGAGCACGGTGAGCAGCTGAGAGTGTATAGACGAGGGCAGAGAGGGTCAGTGACGGGCTGGTACGGCAAGGGCAGCACAGTGCTGGGTCCGCCACGGTCGTTGCAACGGCGCTCACGTTCATGTTGCTGTACCCGACGCCCATGATGCCGCGCAGGCCCGCTGTGCCGAACTCGAGCCTGTCTCCGAAGCACTGCTCAAGCTTGGTGAAGTCGCTGCGCTCGATGAGGCTGGCCAGCTGCTGCTTGGTGGTCGGGTCTGGGTCCTTGTGCAGCCAGGCCTTGGCCTTTGCGAGGAGCTCCTGATGCGCCATGGTTGGTTTCCTTCCGACTCGGAGGCTGAGGACGTGGCAGAATCGATGAAGGAGTGGCAGTGCGCAGCGAGGGTGGGTGGACGAGTTGGAAGAGGACGAGGTGGAAAGGGAAGCGGGCAAGGGGCACCCTCGACGACCCTGACCTGGCCCAGCAGTCCCGGCGGCGGGCTTTCGGACTTGGCCGAAAGAAGGCCCCCCTTCCTTGGCCGTCCGCCGGGCGCTTCTTCTTGCTTCGGGTCGGTCGGTCGGTTGGGGGACCAGTCAGCTTTGGCGGCCGAGAGAAGACGTCGAGGTGCCGGCCAACCTCCACACGCGGCCTTGGTGCCAGCCCAACCCCAACCTCTGCTTCTACCTTGCAGGCTGAGCGAGCCTCGTTCCGCCCCGCCTCATGGCCCTACGCCACACCACGACACCTTTCCCCGCACCCCTCTTGCCTCGCCGCCCAGCAAACACGCCGGAAGCACTTCGGCTCTCGGTTACCGCCTGCTGCGGCGCCTTCAGCGGAAAGCAGCGCCAGCGCCAGCGCCAGCAGCATGCCGTCTTCTGTCGCGGCACACACCATCCCGCCCTTCTACGCCTGCTACTTTCTGCGCTCCCTCTCGGTCCCCGGCTCGACCTACATCGGCTCGACCCCCTCGCCACCACGGCGCAAGCGACAGCACAATGGAGAGCTCACTCAGGGTGCATCCCGCACGATCCGATCCCGCCCCTGGGAGATGGAATGCATCGTATACGGCTTCAGCTCCAAGATTGCCGCCCTCCAGTTTGAATGGGCGTGGGCCAAGCCCCACCTCTCTCGCCACCTCCGCACCTCGGCCCACGCACTTGGCGCCGCAGAGCCTATCGAATCCACAGCGCCTTCCACGCCGCTCTTCCCACCGGTCGGCATCGTAAAGACTGGACGGCGCAAGACCAAACGGCCAAAGCCACCCGCTTCACCCAACGCTCGCCTGCTCGTCCTCCGCGCTCTCTTGCGGTCTGAGCCCTTCAGCGGCTGGGGACTTCGCGTGGCTTTCTTCACCGAATGGAGCTGGGCCGCCTTCCAGCTGCTCGAAAGGGCAAGGGATGGCATCATAGCTGCCGACGGTCAGGCCGGGCCGTCACGGCTCAGCGGCAGCCGAGCAGGTCGTCTACTCCATCCCGCCTATCCAGCGGTGGTGTGCGACTTCACAGGGGTCGATGGGAAGCGGAAACCCGTGTCCGCTATGTCGGCTGAAGAGAGGAAAGTGATAGGCGTCAAGGGCATCGAAGAAGCCGGCTCCAAGGCTGGCAAGAAAGCAATCAAGAAGGCGAAAGAGGGTCGAGCTTCGGGGTTCATCGAGGAGCTACCAGACGGCGCCAACGTCAAAGGGATCGGCTTGACACTACAGGCACTCGAGGATGCACCCCTACCAGCGCCATCCGTACCTGCTGACGGGCGCATCCTGATCAAGAAGAAGCGGCGGTCAAAGGCGCAAGTGCAGGAGGACAACCTGGATGCGCAGGAAGAGCCTCAGTCGTCTCGGGCGTGGCCCTCGATGCGATTCAATGATGGTGAGTGAATTGATCCATATCGAGAGCTGCTGGCAAGGGAGCAGCATGAGGCGCTGTACTGAAGCTGCTGGTTGCGGTCACAACGTTCTTTCACAGCGGATCTCACCGAGCTGCAGTGGGCGCGTTTCGAGGATGTGCTCAGTGCGCATGGTTTCACCGCCGATGAGCTCCTCGACATCTACAAGGCTGCCTCCAGCTCCACTTTGAAGGGCCGCCCAGCCAAGGGCAAAGTCAGCTGCGGCATCTGTCAGGGTGCTGTGGATGTCACTGTGAGAGGCACTCGCCAAAGGCATCGTTCATAGCATTCCGAGTCGATGTCCTGACTTTTTGCGAGCGCTCTTACATCCGATGTTTCATGGCACAGGATACCCTCTCATACAGTCTGTGCCCTCAGCCACATGCTCGGCTTCAGCCTCGTTCCGCCATCGAGCTTCGGACATCCGGCAGCAGCGACCAGGGCGTCGGCGACCACCATTGCAAGTCGTTCTTCCATCTGAAGTGCCTGGCCGAGCACTTCCTTCGAAGCGAGGCGGGTGGAATTGATCAAGACGCCTTCATCCTTCCCGCCCACGGATGTTGTCCAAGCCCACAACACGAGGCCCCCAGCTCGAAAGCAGAGCCGGTCTACTGGGCCGATGTGGTGCGCGGAGTATACCGGCGCCGGGACAGGCTCGAGTTGCTGCTCGCGGTCCGCGAGAAGCGAGCCGCCGCCCTTCCAGATCCTGCGGCCATGTTTGCGGACGACGACGACGATGACGATGACGATGCAGAAGAAGAAGACGATGACGATGAGGAAGAAGACGAAGGCGATGGTGACGAGGTCGGCGGCGACTCGCAATGCGACGGTTCGGACAGGAATGCGATAAAAGCGCCTCCCCCGTCGGTCAAGAACAAGCGAACCACCAAGCCAAGGGCATCCAACAAGGCTACACCCTCCGCAAAGAAGAGCAGCCCGTCTGCAAAGCCGACAAACGCAAGAAGAGGCCGGCAGCCGAAACCAGCAACTGCCGCTCGAGGTGGGACGAGGGAGACGCGCGTCACCCTCTCGAGCAGCCCGGAAGTCTCCGAAGGAGACGATGATGGCCAGACTTCAGACATGCCGCCCATGTCGCCGGTGCTGGACGAAGATACCCGAGACGCCGCTGCGAGCATCCTCGCCACTAAGGCGGCTGCCAGTACTCTTAGCTTCACGGTCGAGGAGGCGCCCAGCCCTCTGCCGCGAAGATCCAACAGGAAGCGCAAGTCGACTGGCGAGGGTGTCATTGATCTCACGTAGCTAGCCGCGTTCCCGTAGCGCAGTCTGACGGAAGTATGACAAGTCGCCACGAGGCAAGAGGTCGAGGATGGGCGGGCGGCATCGCATCGCGGACGAGAGTCTGGCGGGTTTCGGCTGCGAGAGCTGGTCTGTGCGCTGGAAGAAATGGCCGGAGTGGTGACGTCGGCCTGCCATTTCGCCGAACAGATTGCCGATTGCGGTCAGGTCAAGCTGGGAGCCTGCCTGCGGCCAATAACCTGCCGTCTTGCCACCACCACCTTGTCATTCTTTGTGCAGCGCCATCATTCACCATAGTCCCTCATACAGCCTCTGCCCGCTTCGATCATGACGACAGCATCTCAAAGCTATTACTACATCGGAGTCGACGTGTAGGTCCTTCGCCGAGACGAGCGCTCGCCACCGCATTCTCACACGCTGACAGTGCCGATCTTTCATCATGTCGCCATTTCGCTGGGTTCGTTCGATAGCGGCACCGGATCAGCAAGAGCCGCGCTGGTCGACACTGACGGCAACATCTTGTCCGAGTCGAGCTACGCCACACAGACGCACCGCCTCGATTCCGACTCGCGCATCTTTGAACAGTCGACCACCGACATCTGGGAGTGCATCACCAAATCGGTCCACGACGTCGTCCAGGGCAGCAAGGTCGACCCCCAGCAGGTCAAGGGCATCGGTTTCGATGCTACCTGCAGCCTTGCCGTCACCGACTTCGATGGTAAGCCGATGAGTGTCACGCCCGAGCCGGAGGCAAGATGGGGCCCTGGAGAGCGCAATGTCATCCTCTGGGCAGATCATCGCGCAGAAGACGAGGCCAAGCTCATCAACAAAACCGGAAACATGGTCTTAAACTACGTCGGAAAGACGATGTCGGTGAGTTGGTCGGGACTCAGCAGCGGCTGTCATCGCCATCGACCCATCGAGCATCTTCGGTCTGACCGACCGCGCCTCTCTCCTTTGCCAGCTCGAGATGGAGATCCCCAAGGTGCTCTGGCTCAAGAAGCACATGCCGGCAGAGACCTTCTCCAAGTGCATGTTCTTTGACCTGCCAGACTACCTGACCTACCGAGCCACCGGGTCTCTTGCTCGGTCCAACTGCTCCCTCGTCTGCAAGTGCTCGTACGTTCCTCCCGGCGTTGACGGCTCCGAGCTCGGCTGGCAACCCGAATTCTTCAAGCAGATCGGCCTCGGAGACATGGTGACCGACGACTTCAAGCAGCTTGGTGGCGTCCCCGGAAGGAACGGCATGGTCCTGACTGCAGGTCAGCCGGTCGGCAACGGGCTGAGCGCTGCGGCAGCCAAGGAGATGGGCCTCGAACCGGGAACCGCTGTCGGCTCCGCGCTCATCGACGCCTACGCAGGCTGGGTCGGCACTGTGGCTGCTCCCGCCACCAACGCTGTCGACGAGAGCTCCAACCATCCCGACCTGATCAATTCACAGAACAGGCTCGCGGCCATCGCGGGCACCAGCACTTGCCACTGCGTTCAGAGCCCCGACGGCGTGCTCGTCGACGGCGTATGGGGCCCGTACAAGCACGCCGTCTTCCCGGGCATGTGGATGAACGAGGGTGGTCAGAGCTCCACTGGACAGGTGAGTTCCTGCTATTCACCCCCGGCCCATCCTCTCGCCCAACATGCCAGCTGAACCGAACCCGTGCTCGCTTTCCCGCCTGCCCCTGCGCAGCTCATCGACTTCGTCATTGACACGCACCCGGCCATCGCCCGGCTGAGAGAAGAGGCTGCCACGACGAACCGCAACACCTTCAACGTGCTGCACGACCGTCTCAATGACCTCACCTCGCAGGCCAAGGTGCCGCACACGTCCTACCTGACACGCGACCTGATCGTGTACCCCGACTTCCACGGCAACCGATCCCCGCTGGCCGACTCGTCGATGCGCGGCATGATCAGCGGTCTGAAGCTGGATCGCTCCTTGACGGACCTATGCCTGCGCTACTACGCCACTCTCGAGGCCATCGCGCTGCAGACGCGCCACATTATCTCGGAGATGAACGAAAAGGGCCACAAGATCGACTCGATCTACATGAGCGGCGGCCACGTCAAGAACGCCGTATTTATGCAGCTCATGGCCGACATCTGCGGCGTGCCCGTCCAGCTACCCTTCAGCTCCAGCGCCAGCGTCGTGGCGGGCTCGGCGATCCTGGGTCGCTTCGCCGCAGAGGTCAATGATCCGCAGTCGGTGGGTGCGTCCGGCCAGTTTGCTCCCAAGCAGCCCACGAACATTGCGGACCAGGAGACGGCCGAGAAGGCATCGTTTGAGCACAAGGACCACCTCTGGGACCTCATGGTTAGTGCGCGGCGACCAAGTCCCGGGCAAGTAGCCTCGAACAGTGTTGCTGACCCACTGCCGCCGTGGCCATTCCCCGCAGATCCGCATGACGAAGCCGGGCACGTTTGTCTTCCCGACCGAGGACAAGAAGCTCAAGGCGCTTTTCGACGTCAAGTACCAGGTGAGTTGGCCGGATACCGGCCCAGTCGCGCCTAAAATGACCGCAAGCTGACCAAGGGCCCTCCTCGTCGTGCTTTACCAGATCTTCCGTGATGCCATCGTCGTGCAGAGGAAGTGGCGCGGAATGATGGACGAGGTTTGCGACCAGTAGACGCTACGACGCACTTGTCTTGGCGATGATGCAGATATGCTCAAATAGATTGACTGTCAAGACGAAGCGAAGCTGATAATCCGTTACAAGACTCGAGGCGAAGGTGGGTACGATATAATAGTAGGCGCTAGATCAAGTTTTAGGCCTTGATGACAACGGGGGCGGCCGGGGTGGCAGGGGCAGCGGGGGCGGCCGGAGCGGCCTGGCACCTGCTGCTACCGTCGGTCGAGGCGGGGCAGTTGCCCGACATGCACATGCGTGGGTCCCAGCAGAGCGAGTCGAGCTTCTGGTTCTTGGGAGCGCAGCGGAGCGGGGTGTTGGCGTTGGCCTTGGCGCAGATGCCGCTCTCGCAGTTGCGCTGCGGTCGATGTAGACCAAGGGGGAGCCAGAAGCGGGGATGGGTCAGCGCGAGGTGTCGGCGCGGGCTATTTGCTCGCCCTGGCGATCAAAGTCGGGCTCTACTCACGTCCTCGGCGCAGTGCACCTTGTCCTCGAGGGGCCTCTCGCACTTCCTTGACGCCAAACTCGGCGCGGCACCGGCCAGAGGCGCACTGGAAGTCGAAGCCGCACTCCTGACCCGTCTTGAGCGTGTTCTTCTCGGTCGGGTAAGGCGCGCAGGTGCCCGACTTGAAGGCGTTGTGCAGCTTGCAGTAGCCCGAGGCGCAGGCCACGTCAGTCTTGGGGCAGTCCTGGCCGTTTGCCTTCTTGGGCTGGCACTTGTTGAAGAGCTTCCAGCCAAACGCGCCGCGGTCGCAGTAGCCCGACTGGCACGAGTCGTTGGCGCCCTCGGCGCAGCGGCTGCCGTTGGCAATGGTGCCGTTGCGCTTGACGAGGACGTTGGCTGGCGCGTCGCGGCCGAGGAGAACGTCGGCCGCGGTCGAAGGCGCAGCAAAGGTGGTCGATGCGGTGGCGAGGGCGACCACGAGGAGGGAGCTGAGGGTGAGGAACTTCATGGTTGGCTTGTTGTGCAAAGGCGAGGAGGTTCTGAAGATTGAGATTCGGGGTTTCGAGGTGTATGGGAGCTGGAGAGCTGTGGAAGGCTGGAGTTCTGAATGAGGAGGGAAGAGGTTATCGATGGCCACCAGTCTGGGCAGCCTTTATACCTTCGAGTCGATCGGTCTTGAGCGACGAAGAGCTACGGTGTCGGTGCGCTCGACGCTGCAGTGCGCATTGGAGGCAGCGTTCAGCGGCCGCAAGAAGGCAGCGTTGCTTTCCCTCGTCGTAGAGTGGCGACCGATGGGTTAGATCCAGCAGGCTGCAGTTGCGAGGCCGGCTCGGGAAGTCGAAGCTCTGGATCCAGCTTTCTAGACACCAGTCCCGGTGCGGATATCCGCTCCCGCCGCGTGCTGCGCCATAGATGGTGAGACGAAACGCGGGGAGAGCCACAGGCCCGACGGAAGGCCCGGCTCAGCACCGTGGCTGCAGTATACGGTACCTGCCCCTATCTTGATCGCGGGGCGAGTCTGTGTTGGTCGCTCACCGAGGTTATTGTGAGTACCGATATCGCGGGCTGGTGCGACATGCCATGTGCTGAATCGAGGATGCGGGACCAAGTCTCTGAGACGCCGAGACGGTCGTCAGAAAGGCAGGCTGCTGTAGGCGGCGCTGGCGTCGTCGACCACCCCGGCCTCGTGTCTCGAACGGCGAGTGCTTCAGAGCGGCAGCTGGTGGCAGGGTCCCCCCCCGACGGACCGCCGGCCAGCCAGGCCGGACATTCGGAGTGCGCACGTCAGGAACGGCGGCAGGAACGAGGGCCCTGTCTGTCTGTGTTTCTGTCTGCGTGCTGCTGATGCTGTGGCGCTCCGGATGGCCCGTCGTGCTAAATCAGGCCTGGCCTGCCAGGCGTGTCGAGAGGGCGAGGACGAGGGCTGCGATTCCCGGCCTGGAACCTTTGGATCCTCCCCGCAAACGAGCATCGCAGGGTCTGCCTGCCATGCCATGCATTTGCCCGCCTGCCCGTCGGAAGCCGATGCATAACGGGGTCCAGATCGCGTGTCAAAGAGAAAAAGCCACGGCATCCGCACGTCTCTGCCGCCCTCCCCGTGTCTTGCCACCATGGTCCTCCCTTCGCTCCCTGCTTTGGCCCAGACAGAACGGAGCCCGCGAAGACCCGACACGGTGGCGCTTCTTCTTCATCCCAAAACAGGCCGCTCTCCCCTGACTCCCGTGTGCCAATTCTTGCTTGCGACACGGCATCGCTCGATTGGGAAATGCCCGGCTCAGAGACAATGCCAGTCTCAATTCTCCCCGACGGTCCGACCGAAAAGGGGCAGCACCGCCCACCGCCGCGCTCGCACACATGCGCGCCTTCCCCACGTCCCGAGCTTCCGGTCTTGAAAACCTGTAGACGAGCAATGCGACAAGGCTGCTTTCGATCGACCGATTACAGTAGTACACTAGCCCAAGACGAGCGACCATACCTAACACCCTTGCCACAACCCGCCTCAGACCTTCTACAATATGTACTGCATAGGTTAGAGGCCACGTCGCGCGCCCACAGCCGTCGCTGCCTTTGCCCGAGACCAGCTTCGACCACCATTGTCTTCCCCGGCCCTCTCTGACACAGCAGACGGAAGTGAGGTCCGGCGACCGACCCGGCTTGACGAAGTTCACGGAACCGAGACCTGACGAGCCTCGAGCAAGACGCTTTCGAGACTTCGAGCGAACGCCTCAAGATCCTTCCAGCTCCCTACCCGTACCCACCTTCGAGCTTCACTGCCGCACGCCCCGTCGCTTTGACCGCGTGAGCTCGATCTCTGCCGTGCGAGATGAAGATGGAAGCAATCGCAGGCGCAGCCAAAGTCGTCTCAGCATGGAGTGTCCGACACGCCACGCAACAGCCAGGATGATCGCTCTGAGCTCTTCCTGAAATTGGCCCAGTTCGTATGTGCTTGAGCATCTTTGGCGCTGAGAGTTGTCAGCACTTCGTTGGGCTCAGAGGATCGCCCAAGCGCATCTGCATCAGCTCCGGGCTTTAGTGTCAGCTGCGCCAAACCTCGAACGCCACGCCCGAGCAAGCCTCGATTCTACCAAAAGCTCGGCGGTGGGTAACGCCAATGATGCCGCTTGCTAGTCATGGTGCCCCGAAGTCATTATCCGCCGTCACGCATCACCATGGATGACGGAGCAACAGCTGATGTGGATGAGGGCCAAAGCATCGCGGAGCGTGAGCCTAGCGGGCCCTCAAAGCCCCCTCTCCCTACATATACGGGCGGCCGCTCCCACTTCCCCCTCTCTACCAAGCTTGCTCTGTTCAGAGATCCCGAATCCATCTCCACACTCTGCGCAAAGGCGTAGCTCTCCCCGCGACGACGGCTCTATATGCAGCACCTTTCGAAAACGACAACGATGACCGCCGTCGCGACTTGTGTTCAGCTGCAAGCTGTGGTCGACCAGGTGGAAGCTTCACTCGACCGGCTGGATTCTCAGCTTGCCATCGCTGGGCTGGATCGCCGTCCGGACTTGAGCAAAAGCGCCCGTGAAAGCAAACATGACGGCGAGCATCGGCGTTCCGATGGGCTCGGCGCCTACCTCTACGATGGTCGCTTCGCTCAGAGTGTGGGCGCGAACAAGAAGCAAGAGTATGCAGGCATCAGTGTCCTCACAGCCAAGACCGACACCGCCAACAAGGCATCGTCGGCGGCTGACCGCCTGCATCTGCCTCACCTTAGCGCACGTGACTACGTGGACATCCAGGACGTCGATCCCAAGGCAAAGGCCCCCGAAAAGCATCGAGCCTTTCGAAGGCAAGATCGAGGACGACGCCCGGCGCTGGCTTCGCAGGTCCGAGGCCGTGCTCGAGAGCTACTGCATCTCAAAGAAGCGCTGGCCCGTTATCCTGGGCACGTCCTTCGAAAAAGGAGCCTCGTCCTGGTATGACAACCTGGTCGTGGAGAGCAGCGGCCCTCTCGATTGGATCAAGTTCAAGAGCGAGTTCCTCGAGTACCCCTGCCTGACAGAGAATTGGTTCGAAGTCCGTCGAAAGATGGACGAGCTCGAGTTCACCGACATGGACTCGTACCTGAGCAGCTTCCTTGCCCTCAAGGCACAGGCTGGGCGCGCGCAGTTTCACGAAACTGAGTTCATGTACCAGTTCCAAAGGGAGCTGCCTCGTGAAGCTCAGTATGAGGTTATGAAAGACTCGCCCAAGACCTTCCAGGAACTCATTCGCAGAGCCAGAACCTGGGAGCTGCACAACAGGTGGTACTTCACCGACACTCCCGTTTTCCTCAGTCGCAACATTGACCGGGTCGCGGACGGCAACAGCACCTGCGACAAGAAGAATCGTGCCGCCAAGTCACCTTCGGCCCGGAAGAAGGCAGGCAAGAAGGCCAAGCCTCGTACTTGAGTGCAACAAGAAGTCTCATCTCGACTTGCACTGTCCCCACCGCCAAACGGCGGCCAAGGGCAAGGACGGGACGAGTCCTTGAGCTGCGTCCGAATTCGATCCGAACTCGAGCCGTCCTGTCCCACCAGAACGGGGCGTCGCGCCAGCCCTGCCTCAGTGTACGTATGAGACAATGGTAGTCTGTGATTCGGCCGAAGAGGTGTGCGGGGATCAGAGTCGTTGATATGTTGGTAGCGGCGCGACCTTGGTATTGGTAGGCCGCCTCGCCATTGCGAGCAGCCATTCAGCGTCGCTGTAGCGACTTCGGGATGAAGGTCGACGATCGCCTCTCTTTCCACCTTCGAAGCTTCTCCTTTCCCTTTCGTGAGCACAATCTGCGCAATCTGAACGAGCGTCGAGGGGACGATCCATATGCAGAACTCTGCCAAAAAGTCCACCTGGTGGGAACAGACAAAGGCCGCCGAGATGAAGCAAGACAGGGGACAATTTGAACGAGCATCACTCGGCCGTGCTCAAGGAAAAGCACGGCAGTATGGCGGCTTGCGGCTCTTACCTAAGAGCGCTCTCGTCCCGCCACCGGGGCTGGAGACTTTGATGCTGGTCAATCTCGAGACGCTGCTGGCAGCTTTGCCCTTCTCATCGTTTATTGAGAGACTACATGCTGGAGGAGCACACGCCGGGTCGATGCGTATAAAGAGCTGCTGATTTGGCAGACATCCCTCATCTCCAGCCCCATCACATCCCGTCCATTCTTCTCACCCAATATCTCCAGGTCATTATCGCACTCTCTCTCTCTCACTTTGCGAGACCAAACTGGTCGTGATTTGCCCTCGTCCGCTTATCAACCTTCGGCACCGACACGGGGTCAGAATTGAGGGTCAGTTTCGTCAGTGCAACAACTTGCACCCCTCCAACTTGCCAAGATGCGTCTTCCCATCATCGCCCCCGTCGCCGGCATCTTCTGCCTGTTCGCTGTCCAAGTCACGGCCCAGGCTTGGGGTCTGGGCTCGAGCTCGAGCTCGCGAGCGACGTCCAACGTCGGCAGGCTTCTCGAGGGACTCGAACACCTCGACAGTGCCCCCGAATGGTCCGAAGGCATGTCGCAGAAGGCCTTCGCAAAGGCGCTTCGAAAGCAGGAAAAGGTGCAGGAGCGCGCCGGCCGAACCGTCCAAGCAGCCTTCAACGGTTTCCGCCAGGCGGGCGTCATCGATGTGCACGACTACGCCGAGCTGAGCCAGGCCCGCGACGAGATCAACCTGGCAAAGTGGCACTTCCTCCAGGGCGGCCAGAAGTTCAGGATGTCGGACCACGGCGACGACTGGGAACAGGTGATGGCCGCCAGCGACGATTCCGTCAGGGCCATCGAGGCCCTCGCCAGGGCGCGCAACGTTCTCGACGAAATCGCGGCCAAGCGCGACCTCCTGGCCAGGTTCTCGGAGAACGACAGCGGTCGTTTCTCGCAGAACGAGCTCGCAACGATCAGGGCGGTCCACGACAAGCTCGACAGCTTGCTCGACGGCATGGAAACGGACTACGCTGGCGCGTTCGAAGACCAGGTCAGGCTCAACGATGCGATCCAAGGGCTGTAAGGGCGACTAGCGGACGTCGTCGTTGCTGCAAGACAGAGGCAGGGGCAGCAGGCCGTCTCAAGTGCGGTGACCATTGCTGTACATCTTCGATCCGGCCCAATGCTCAGGACCGGCGATCGATCATGCCTCACTTCCGCCGCCAATTTTCCCTTCTGGCTTCGTCGCTGCCATTTCGTTCTTCCCCTTCATCTCCGCCCGTCCGCCTCATTCTTCTTCATGTCCGCTCTATGATCTCATCACTCGATTCCCACCACAATGTTCACGAAAGTTTTACAAAGCTCAAATTAAAGCATGCACTCTTTCAACAAGCAGACACGCTCTCCATCCCAGTGGCCCACCTCTATCTGGTTCGATGCTACACGGCGCTACTCGGAGTCGTACTCGAGCGAGAGTGTGGTAGGGATGGGGCTCTCCTTTGCGTTGGCGTCGAGGTAGAGGCGCATGTTGACGCCGGCGAACTCGTGCGTGACGATCGAGAAGCGGCCGGCGCTGCCCGGCGAGCGGCGGAGGTTGGGCAGCTTAAACACCTGCAGTCACAACAATCGACGGAGCGTGGCGAATGCGTCAGTAGTCGTCGACAGACGGAGGCGGAGAAGACGTGACAAACTCACCTCCTTGAGCGTGGCCGCCAGACTTGCGCCGACCAGACGGGCACCGAAGCAGAAGTGAAGGCCATGTCCGAGCAGCGTGTAGCTCGAGCGAGGACGGTGCGGGTCCAGCTTCTCCGGGTTCGGGAAGGCCTCCGGGTCGAGCGCCGCCTTGGATGTGGCCTGGTAGAGATAAGGAGAGACAAGGAGAGAAAGGGAAAGGATGCAGAAGACGTCAGGACCCGGAAGACGCCTCGAAGAAAGCGGTTGACGATGCACTCACGATGAGGATCGTGTTGCCAGCCTTGACGTGGATGGGTCCGCGGACACCGTCCTGGATGGTGACATCCTTTGCCGCCACACGGGGCAGGCCGGGGACGACACCGGCATGGCGCATGCCCTCAAACACCCAGCCCTGGAGCTCGTCGAACGCCTCCTTGTCGTCGCGCTGGGCCAGCTCGACGATGCGGGCCTTGTACTCCTCGTAGCCCTCCGAGAGGAAGAGGTCAATGAGGAGCGAGGCCTGCTGCGTCAGGTTGCCCGCCACGGGCGCGCCCATGCCGATGCAGTCGCCGACCAGGTCGCCGATGGGCAGCTTGGTCTTGTTGAGCGCGTGGTAAAGGCGGTCCGCCTCGGGCTTGACCTCGAAAGCGCTGCCCTTGGCCAGCCAGTCGACGACCGACTCCGTCATGCCGCGCTGCGTCTTGAGGTGTGTGGTGAAGATGCCTCGGAGCTGCATGGACGAGTGTGAGGGTGCGAGATGGTCAGCGGCCGAGTCTCGGAAATGGAAAGCATGTGCACCGTCATCCACTCACCACCGGAGCAAGCTGTCCCGCGCCGTCCCTGAGAGCCCATTCCGAATGCGGGAGGATGTTGAAGCTCTGGAAGATGAAGAGGACGAGCCAGCACGAGAACGACTCGTAGACGGTCAAGAGGCCCCTCGGGTGCTCGGCCGTCTTGAGCGGGATGGCGAAGCGGTCCGCCAGCCAGAGGATGGGCGTGACGTTGGTGACGTCGCGGACAATGTCGATGGTGCGCTTCTTGGACGACGTGTGTTTGAGCGACGACTTCTCGATGAGCTTCCTGACGTTGGACGAGAAGAAGTCGGCCACCTTGGCCTCAAAGTTGGGCTCAAAGAAGACCTCGTGCAGGATCTTGGAGCGCTCGTCGTGCCGCGAGGCGTCGTCCCAGCCAATCATGAAGTCGTGGCCGTCGGTGCACTGCCGGATCGCCTTCTGGTACATGACGCGGAATGTGTCGCGATCCTCGAACACCTGCTTGCACGCGGCCTGGGTGTGGACGCCGACGACGTGCATGTCGCTGCGAGGCCGTTCGAGGTCGTACTTCTCGACCGACTTGTTACCCTTGAGGATGCCCGCAGCCGCTTTGGGCGTGTAGAAGGGCAGGAGCGCGTAGCTCGAGGTGCCCGTGAACGCGCCGGGAAGGCCGGAGAAGAGCAGGTTGGGCAGCATACCGCCAAAGGCGCCCGGGTGCGTGTTGGTCAGCTTGGCGGCACCCCAGTTGGTCAGCGTGGTGCTGTTGAAGTCGTAGGTGAAGAAGCGGTCACCGCGGATCAGGGCCACGGCATCGTCGAGGATTCCGCGACCCGTCGTCTGACCCGGGCAGACTCCCGAACCGGGCATGGCCGGCTTCGTCGTTTCGGCTCTGCGCAGGAATGAAGGCAAGAGGGAACGGTCAGACCGCTGCTTCCAACAAGGTTTCAGATGCGCACTTCGTGTACCCACTGCAGGCCCTGTAGACCGGATAGGTGTTTCGGTAAACAGAAGAACATAAGGCTGAATCAGGAATCGAGGTCAGGCCGTACAGTCTTTGGAAATGCCCGCGTTCACTCACAGGGTACAGCTCGAGGTTGTCAATGTGGCCGTAGAGCATCTCGGCCGCGCGAGCCGTCTCCTTGTCCTCGTTCCACTCCTCGAACGAGCTGTCCAAGTGGGGACAGCGGTAGATTGTCAGTGCTGGCTGTCACGTATAACGTCATGCCCTTGCCTCGTGGACTCACGTGTAGGCCTTAAGGTTAAGGTAGCGGCGGAACTCGTTGAGCGTGCAGACGTTGAAGGCGTTTCGGGCCTGCAGCTGGCCCATGATGTCGACGATGCGGAGCGAGGCCGGGGTGCCGTGGGCGCCAAAGGCGTGGGCAGGCTCCTCGATGCAGTCCTTGATGAGCTCGGCGAGCTGGACATCGTTGAAGCGACCCTCCTCGTCCCGCTCGAGGCCGCCAAAGGTCCACTCCTTGGCGGGCGTGGTGAGCAGCTTGCGGCCGTGCTTCATGGCCACCTGGTGGAACATGTCGGCCGTCACCTCGTCGACCGAGGCGATGTCGGGGAACGTGTCGCGCAGCATGTCCTCCATCCATTTGTCATCGGCCGCGCTCAGGGCGGCGTGCCAGTGATAGAGGACGGCAAACTCGACCGAGACCGAGTTGCCCGTTCCGCGCTCGACGCGCTTGCCGCCGGAGCGGATCTCCTTGCCAAGGTCGAGCGACCACTCGCTGCCGTTGGCTCTCGGCGTGTTGAGGATGGCGGCGACGTAGTCCTTCAAAACCACGGTGGCAAAGAAGCCGGCGTTGACTGGAGCGTCGTGGCGCGAAAGCGAAGATTAAAGAAGGGGCCGAGTCAGGCTTTGCTCTTTAGAGCAACGATGGCATGCCGACGAGGCCTGCACTCACCGTTCCTTGCCAGGTTGAAGATGTCCTCGTCCTGCCACTTGCGCTCCTCCTCGCTGAGCTGGTCCCAGTCTCGGTACTTGCCCTGCTCGTTGATGGAGCGCAGGTTCTCGGCGATGTGGTTGTGGTTCCTCGAGAAGAGGAGGAGGACTGCAATGACGCCGGGGGGCATCATCATGATGCGCTCCGAAGCGATCGAGTCCGGGTGGATGAGGCCTTCGCGGTAGGTCCGGACGCGCTGCTGTTCCTTTGCGGTGTTGCCGTAGAGGGTGCTGAGGTCGACGTAGGACGAGGTCTCGTTGATCCATGGGTTCTTGCGGCTCGTCTGGAAGCACTCGTGGATGACGACCGTGGCAAACGAGAAGAAGAGGCGGTTGAGGCCGCTCGGGTGCGGGCGGAAGTCGCTGGTGCGCTTCATGAGCAGGTCGTAGACGAGGTCCGGGTCGGGCAGGCTGGGCCCCTTTGGCTTGAGCGGAGGCACGCTGCGCGAGTAGGCCGAACCCGCCTTGCCCATCTCGGGCCACCACGGGTTGTTGCCGCTGCCGTCGGGCTTGCGGTACCGCATCGCAGGGTCGACCATGCTGCCGGCGGGGTGCGGGAGATCGTGCCAGAGCATGCCGATGAAGCCGTCCGAGACTGCAGAGCTGAGCCCAGAGTTGAGCGGGAGGCTCTGGAGCATCGAGACGCCGTGCTCGAGCAAGAGCTCCTTGTCGTCTAGCGGCTCACCCGAGGCGAGGGTGGTGAGGGCCTGGGCGGCCGTCTTTGTGTTCTTGAAGCCGAGATGAGCGAGGTCGTGGGTGATGGACGTCTTTGCGACCGTGCTGTTGGGAGCAGCGGCCTGGGCATCGGTCTTGCCATCCGGAGCCGTGGAAGGCTTCCGCTTGATGCTGCCGATGAGCGTCTTGAGTTGGCCAGGCATCTTGTCGTAGGGAACGTCTTGCGACGGAGGGTATCGGGGAGGGGGAGGCGGTGGACGAGCGAGAGAGGACAAGGAACGGGGTGCAGAGAGCAAGTCGGGCGAGGTGCCGCGATGGAAGGAGGTGGGGCGTGGTTTGCAGCCTCGACAGAAACAGGGGTGGGACTGGTATATGTATAAGGAGACATGGAGGCCCGAGCCATGGGCCCGGTATCCATACGCACTGTTTTGCCACCGACTGCGGTCTTGCAGTAACAGCAGCAGCCGTCGCGGAGCTCAGACAGTCTCCTTGCTGGAAGGAGCAGGCAGACGGAAGAGGTAGGCAGACCGACAGATACACAGGCGGGCAGATGCACAGCTTCGCCTCCGGTTCGGCAAGACCATGGAGAGAACGCCGGGCTACCGGACCATCACAGCCAGCATCTGCAGCGAGGTCAAGCGAAGGCAAGCGAGGCTGAATCAACCCACGATGAGGTGCTGCGAGCTCAGTGCGGACGGATTGACCAGGCGACCGACCCACTTCATCAGCTGTCGGCCGCCTGTCGACCTTCTTGACGTCCGTGTGGTCCCGGCGCGTTGCTCAGAGCTTCGTCCCCCGTGGCATCGCGCCAAGGCACTGCGTTCCAATCAGGAGGCAGAGGTTACACCATCACAAGACGGGCCTGCGCGGGGGGACAAGGTTGGCGTGCAACAGGCCCCGCACCTGTGGTGTGCGGAAGATAGCCCCTGCTGCCTGGTGCTTTCAGCGGAGCTTTCCATCTGCATGGTGAGTGCGGTGGGGTGACGGGCGAATGTCCTTCTGCATGGCATGCCGCAAGGTGCCCGGGCGTGCTGCTAGGGCCAAAGTCACAGAGTAACGTGCGGACGTTGGCACGAGGACTGTGGCGGCCGTCCGGAGCCTTAGGCTTTGGCCGGCCACTGGTGCGGTCCAGTCCGTGCACCACCTGCGTGAGTAGTATCCTCAGAGACCAGAAGGCGTTCGACCGCCCGGCGAGTCCTCAAGGTTGGACGCCACGGCGGGGCGACGAGCTCGGGAGCGGGGCGATACGCACAAGGTGCACCAAGGTTAGCATCATGCTCGGCAGGCAAGTCGTGTGGTGCCTTGGGAGCCCGAGCCGGGGCGAGGCGAGAGGTTTGATTTGAGGCCATGATGGCTAGCTCGCTGGGGATAAGCCATGGTCTGTCGGGGCCTCTCGGCCTGTGGAATCACAGCAGTGCGAGGCCACTCGGCGAGAAGACGTCCTCACAGATCGAAGACAAGGCCGTTGACCACGGAGCCAGCAGAGTGGCAAGCAGGGCGAAGCGAAGATTTCCTTGGCCTGTGCGCTACCGAAGCACCGTCACTGCAGCGTCGATGATGCCGAGCTGCCAGATTTCAATTCCAACGAAGCAAGAAGTGCGGTCGGGAAGCCCTCCAGCAGACAGGCTGGCAGGCAGGCGGGGCTGGGACAGGAGGGAGATCGCATGTGCAGACAGAGCGTCTCGGAATGCGTAGGGCGCTGCGTATGGATGGAGCTGTACATGCGTCTGGCGCAAGCACGTTCACGGGGGGATGTCCCGATGTGACGGGTGCATCGACGAAGGCCATGCAGGCATAGAAACGACGAGGACAGGTGCGGCCGTAGTAACCCGAGAGTCGACGTGTGAGATCCGAAGAGGTGTCGTGGTGCGACGACAGGCCTACCTGGCAGGCCCGGCGGGCTGTCAGATGGGCACGCACGTCGCGCGAGGCTGAGTTGTCTCGCTTTGACCTGTCAAAGCGGCCGAGGCTGAGACGCCGGCGGGGCGCGGGCGTACACGGGTAGAGCGGCCAACGTGCCTCTCTGAACCTTGGTCGCTCGCTCGCCCCTCGTGATTCCCCGGCCTCTTCCTCTCTCTCTGGACGCTGACTCATGGGCCGAATGAGCTTGAGCCAATGGCAGGTGGGCTCGTGGACAGCAGCGGCTACTTTTTTTGAGATGAGCTTGGCTCCTCCGGTGGCGGAGAGAGGAGAGATAGGAGGCAGGGATCCTTGCAGGCGGTTGAAAGAAGGGAGCAGGCAGGTGAGGGCCATGCGCACTGCGCTGCGCTGAGCTGCGTTGGTCGTCTTCGGCTGCGGCGAGGTGGCGTCGCGCAGCATGGCATGGCATGGCTTGACATGCATGACAGCTCGCCCTAGTCTAGTCTCACCGTCTTAGCTTCCTTACGCTGAGCGGCGGTACGGTACGATGAGGCCAAGGTAGGGCGACGCGAGGTGCTCGCTTCTTGGAAGGCCTCCTTTGGTCATCCAAGCAAAGCAAAGCAGTACCGCCTGCCTTTGCTCGTCTAGGCTTCGAAATGTGTTCGACCATCGGTCCGTGCTAGCCAAACCTTAATCCCTTTTCGGTCTCCGCCCGAAGTCGCAGCGCAGCGTCGCCGCCGACTTCTTTGCTTGGTCAAATAACGGAGGACAGCGACGGCAGAGTACCGGTAATAGCCGCGCTCAGTCACCCCTCGACACGCCCGCTCCCGCCTCGCGCCACGCCGCAGCTGCTCCCTCTCTTCCGTCGGCAGGGCGACATCAGCCGATCTGCACCACCCCGCTTGATGGTGTCGCAACATCGCCGTACCGGTAGAGACCACCGTCAGTACGGCAGCCAGAGGCCTTTGGACCAGCCAGCAGGCGCGAATGCATTTCATGGCCTGGGAAAAAAAGTCCTGCTCGCTCGGACACGACATGAAATCTGCACCGTCCAATGCAAGACGCCAGGAGCCGAACGTCGGCAAGGTCCCGGTCGGCCGTGCCGTATCGCCTCCTATTCGCCACCTCGACGCCATGACGGGCTCCGAAGCTTTCGCCGCCAGCCACTACTCTGGGAGCGTGCTCGGCCAGAGAGATCCAGTCACGATCCTGCTCCGATCGAGATGCCCACTACTCCACCGACCTGCACAGCTCCATGTCACTGCCGCGCCCCACCGCCCGGGCCGCGGTGGCGGCCGATGCCCCTATTCCGTTCCACCTCTGTACGCGACAGGTGGCCGCGATCCCCCCCCCACTCCGAGGTCGGGTGCTTGGAGCCAAGCTCGGTGTCAGAACGGGACAAAGAGCACGGCGGCGCAACCGACGATCCCCCATCTCGCAGAGACTAGCTGCACGTCGCCCGCCACACCTGAACCTTGTCCTTCCTTCGCCTCCATCGTTACAGTGCTCGACCTCGATCCGCCTTCCACCAGAACGTGCGCCGCCACACCGGTGTCTCTGACGGCTTCCGCGCCGGTCCACTGCTCGTCTCGTTGGCCTCTTAACGAACGTTCGGATCGGTCCTCTTTCCATCGCATGTCCCGTCGCTGCCCGTCTACCACCCTCTGCAACGGCCTTGTCTCACCAACCTTTACCGCCAACTCCGCTTCAAGATGGCTGCCGTCGACCGTCCACCGCAGCTGCCAGAGGTGCACGGCCCCGTCCGTCGCGGATCGTACCCCATCCAACGGCCGCCGGTCAGGGATAGGAACAGCATCTTCACCAACCCGTTTGCGTCGCAGGGACAGCAGCCGCCCCAGCTGAGCCCGCAGAGCGTTCCGGACACCATCCGGGCCGTCAATGGCGGCACGCGGCGGTGCAACGACAGCCACGTCACCAGCCCGAGCGTCTCGAATCCCAACCCGCGCACCATCGTCATCTGCCTCGACGGCACGGGCGACCAGTTCGACAACGACAACAGCAACGTCGTCCGCTTCGTCCAGTGCCTGCGCAAGGACAGCCCGGACCAGATCACCTTCTACCAGTCCGGCATCGGCACCTACAAGTCCGGCCACCACGTGCAGGATGGCATCTCGGCCGCCGTCGACATGGCCGTGGGATCCGGACTGGGCCTCCACGTCCGCGGCGCCTACCGCTTCCTGCAGCAAAACTACCGCGAAAACGACCGCATCTGCCTCTTTGGCTTCTCGAGGGGCGCCTACACGGTGCGCTCGCTGGCGGGCATGCTGCACAAGGTGGGCCTGCTGCCGCCGCACAACACCGAGCAAGTCTCGTTTGCCTACCGCTACTTCAAGGACGACACGCCCGAGGGGTGGAAGATGTCGGCCGAGTTCAAAAAGACGTTTTGCACCGACGTCGACGTCCACTTTGTCGGCGTGTGGGACTGCGTGGCGAGCGTGGGCTTCGTCCCGCGCACCCTCCCCTTTTCAAAGAGCTCCAACAACAGCATCCGCCACTTTCGCCACGCCCTGGCCCTCGACGAGCACCGCGCCAAGTTCAAGGCGTGCCACTGGGTCCAGCGGCACGAGACGGCCGACCGCCTGCGCCTCCACCGCGACACGATGCAGGGCGTCGTCGCCGAGCCCGAGCAGATCAACGGCGTCAACGGCGCTGCGTCGCCGCGCGAGCCGGGTCAGACGACGCCCAACGGCAACGGCGTCGGACGACGTGCCAGCATGGTGCGTTCGCTGGTGGGCAGCGTCTCGCGGCGCAACTCGAGCATCGCGACGACGACGACGGCACCGACGACGCTGAACCTCGACGGCGGCGGTGGTGGCGTCGGGGCCGGACAGCACTCGCGTCGAGCCAGCTCGATGGTGCTCGAGTCGCTCGAAAACGAAGACAGGCGGGACCTCGACAGCGACGAGCGCAAGCAGGCCATGCTCGAGACGACGTTCGAAGAGATCACCGCCATGGAGGGCGAGGACAAGGACCGCTTCGAGACCGACGTCGAGGAGGTGTGGTTCCTCGGTGCGCACGCCGACGTGGGCGGAGGGGCGGTGCCCAACGAGACGCGGCACCAGCTGGCGCGCATCCCGCTGCGCTGGATGATCCGGTGCTGCTTTGACTGCGACACCAACATCCTCTTCCGCACCGAGGCCCTCGCCGAAATGGGTCTCGACGTCGAGACCCTCTACCCAGTCTACCGCAAGCGCCAGGTGCCCATCGTCCTCGAGCCGGAACCGAGGATCCTCGAACGGTACCGCACCCGCACCCTCCCCTCGCTGCTGCAGCGGGCGCAGAGCATCCGATCGCGCACCCTGCCATCGCGGCAACCTTCGCCCTTCTTCCCTTCCCCGCTGCCGTCGCCGGCCTTGACCATGGGCCCGGGCAAGGGCGAGACCGACGTGCCCGAGGCGTACCTCAAGGAGGCCAACGAGGACTATTTTGACGCCCTCGCGCCCATCAACGACCAGCTCGAAGAGTCGAGGGCCTGGTGGATCCTCGAGGCGTGGCCTGTCAAGGTGCGCATCCAGAACAAGGACGACAACGGCTGGACAAAGCGCGTCGCCATGAACCGCGGCCGATACCGCGCCGTGCGGGCCGAGGAGCCGCAGATGCACTACACGGTCAAGCTGCGCATGGATACGACCAAGTACAAGCCCCAGGTGCGGATGGCCAGAGAGGCGGCGTGGAAGGTCGTGACCTGAGGCGAGGTGCGGAGGCGTCGTGGTGGAGGCGGGCCGATGCGGAGTCGAGGATCTGCAGCCAACAATAGTCACTCGTTTTCCAGCTGCTTTCTGGAGTAACATTCTTTCTTCACCGATCGACGACAGGCCGGCCAAGCGCGAGATGGCGGGCGGCTGCCTACTCCTTGACGGCGGCGATGCACTCGATCTCGACGAGGGCGTCGCGGGGGAGGCGGGCGATCTCAATCGCCGAGCGGGCGGGCTTGTAGGGGGCGAAGAACTGCGGGTGTGGATAGGCGAGGAAGGAGCGGGGAGGGTCAGAGACGAGCGTCGGCTGCAACGGCACAGCACCAAGACGACCGAGTGGGAAGGCCGTGGCCGGATACCCACCTTCTCGAAGACGGCCTGTGAGCAGCCGTGCAAGGGAAAGAAGGGTGTCGGGAGTGGGTCAGCTGGAGAGGCGAGGGCCCGCGTGTGACAACCGAACAGGCAAAAGGTCTGCCGCCCGCGACACTCACGTTCATCTTGTCAAAGTCGTTCATGTCCTTGAGGAAGACGGTGGTCTTGAGAACGTGCTGTGCGGTCGAACGGGAGGGGGAGATGAGGGGATCGACTCGAGGCTAGTCAGAACGCTGCGAGGGAGTCGGCTGCTGATGCAGCGAGCTGAATGGCCGGCGACACTCACCGAGGGGCCGGAGTTGGCAGCCTTGAGGTTGGCAAAGAGGTTCTTGAGGGTCTGCTCGGTCTCTGCCTCGATCCCGCCGCGGAGGAGCTCCATGGTCTCTGGGATAAAGGAGATGCATCCGGAGAGGTAGACGACGCCGTTGTGGATGGTGCCGGGCGAGTAAGGGCCGATGGCCTTGGGGGCGTCGGGGCTGAAGACGGTCTTGTAGGGAACCTCGGAAGCCGACATGGTTCTTGATGAGGCAGAAAAGGGGCGGACGGCGGCGGCGGCAGTGGCAGTGGCAGCATTACAGGTGAGCGGGCGAGATGGCAGCGGGGCGGCGGCGGATCGGAGGAGGAGGAGGGTGGCTTGGGGGGTGCGGCTTACGAACATTTTCGGTTGTGGGGGGTTGTGGTGGTACGGGTGAGCGTGTGAGGATGGTTTACTGCTGTTATAAAGGCGGGATGGTGGTGGTGGTAGTGACGGAATGGGCGATGCGGAGGCGGATTATATAGGAGCGCGGTGGGGACGCCGAAGAAGTGCGGGGGCTGTGGGCTGTGGGGCCTGTGGCAGCAGCCAGAGGAAGTTAAGGAAAGCCAACGACCCCCACCAATCCCCCGCCGTGAGGTGCACGGGCCCCAGACGCCGCTGATTGGCCCGCGCGCCGCTGCCCAAATTGGCCGCGCAAAGTGCCGGCGGCCCGCTCCGCTCCGCCTTGCAGAACGTAACACCACCTTCGGCTCTCGTAGCCAACCTTTGCTTCCTCGGCCCCTCCGTCAGCTAGCAATCTTGAATTAAGAATCGCAGCGACCGGCTGGCTGCGCTTCGGGCGGACGCGACCAAGTCAGGCGAGCCACAGACCCCTTCTCTGCTCTCGCCTTGTCCCCCCTCCTCAGCAGACACACTGCTACCGGAACCAGGACACTGCGGGGCCGCACCGGCAGCGACGCATCGATCAAGAGACATGGACCCAAGAAGAGGTCCGACGGATGACTCGAAAGACGCTCCGCCGACAAAGCGGATCCGCCTGGCGCGCGACCGACCTTCTCGCGACACTCCTGCCCCTCGCACCAGCCCGCAATACATCCTCAACGATGCCGACGCCGGCGACGACGCCGACGAAGATCGAGATTCGGGCGACTCGTCGTCGGACCAGGACGACGAGGTCGACCATGGTCCAGACGAGGCAGCAACGGACAAGCGCCACGTCGGAGCCAAGGCCGACGATTGGCCGTTTGCGGTGTGGTGCGCCGAGCGCGGGATCTGGATGGACCCCAAGCTCACGATTAACAGAAGAAAGCTGAGGACTATCGACCACGCCTACGTAGCGGCCAAGGATCCCTACTGCACCACCAAGCACACTTCCAAACGCAAACCGGCGGTCATTCCGCAAAGCCAACGAGGTAAGCCCGAAGCATCCCTCATCCGCGTCGCACTCCGTAGTGCCGTCATCGCCTCCATCCGCTGACCTGAGCTGGACTCGATCCCCCACGACGTTACGATGTTGCGGCCCCTTTCGACGCTCGCAAGTCGTCAAGGTGCCCAAGAGGGCCATCCTCTCGACCCGCACGAGCGCGCTAGCGCGTCACCTGGCCAAACAGCTGGCCAAGCACCCTACCATCCGGTCCTTTGAGCCATCGCAGAGGTCCAGCCTCGACCTCGCCCTCTGCCTCTTTTACGAGCTGCTGCTGGGAGAGGATTCCGACTTCAAGCCCTATGTCGACACGCTGGTCGGTCAAGCGCCGCATCTGCCCATGTTCCGTCGCAGTGACCCCCTCAGGACGCCATGGAAGTGGATCCGCGGGACCGAGGCGCATCGCATCGAGCGCAGAGCCAGGATAGCATCCCGGCGCAGCTGGAAGGAAAAGCACGGCTACAGCGAGACCTATGGCCTGAGCAGCGTGAGTGCAGGTCCGACCTGTCCCTTGATAGACGGTTTCATCGCACCTACTCACCCGCTGTCCGCCCACTCGCCCCTGCAGGAGACGGTACTGGAGTACCTGTACGAAGTCGCCGTCCCCGTGCTGTCCAGCGCGCCCGGCATCGCCTTTGACCCGGACGACTTCGCGCGGATGCTCGACGCCATCAGCGAGTTCCAGTGGGCCGTGTCGATGGTGCGGTCGCGCAGCTTCATCGTCGATCTGTACCACGGACCGGCGCTGGTGCCCGTGTGCGACGCGTTTGATCACAGCGACAAGCCCACCGTCGAGTTCGAGAGCATCGTCGACGTCTGCGTGCGCTGCGGCTCCGCTGCCGACACGCTCCACCCGCACATCGGCCCAGCGCGGGCGCCACGCAGGGCTGAGCCTGACAATATCCATGATTCGGATGTGGCGGACGACGGCGACGAAGACGACGACGACGACGACGAAGACGACACTGTGGACATGTGGGCGATCGATGACCTTGGCTGCGGAGACGAGGTGTTCAACAACTACGGACCGCTCTCGAACGCCGAGCTGCTGACCCAGTACGGCTTTGCCCTGCCCGGCCAGACGCACGTCGAGCGCTTCACATGGGACATCCGCTTTGCCAAGGAGCGGCGCGAGGTGGGCGACGCGCTCGGGATCCGAGACTGGGACGAGGTGTTTGAACGCTGCATCGCTCTGCCTCGACCTCGATCCATCAGCAACGACGAGAACGATGCCGATGCCGGCGACGACGATCGAGCCATGGGCGCCATGAGCGAAGCGTCGAAGCGCGTGGCGTCGCTGCGCAACCTCGACTTCCACAACGCCCGATTCGAGCGGCAGCTCGACGAGACCGACATGGAGCGGCTGGACAAGTCGTACGCCTTTTTCCGGCCGCTGGCGGCCAACATGGTGCCGGACGTGCTGCGCGGCGAAGAGGCCAAGGCGGCACGGCAGGCGAGGCCGAGCGAGGTGGACAAGCTGAGGCGGCAGGACGACGTGCAGCCCCTCTTCCTCCACGCCTTCGCGGGCGTCAGCCGCGTCCTGTGGCGGCTTGCGCTCCTCGTCCAGATCCCGCGCGGCACCGCGCCCACAGCGGTCGCGAAGAGCATGATCGAGTGCGAGGACGTCTTTGGCGCAATCTACTTTCGAACGGGCCAGTTTCCTCGGCCGCCCGCGTCGGTCCCGTCTTCGCAGGTGCCGAGATTGGATGAGGACGAGCCACGAGCTGCGGCGGCGACGATGGGCAGCAACGTCAGCGCAACGGCCACCGCCACGGCGACGGATATCGGCCGCGCGAGGGAGATGGTCATCACCGCCCTCGGATCCCTGCAGCGCCTCTTGGAGCAGCGACTGGCCAAGCTCTACTACCACCACCACCAACCCGCCGGCGAAGACCTGCTCAAGACGGTACGTCGTTCCCTTTCCCTTTCCCTTTCCCTCCCTCCCTGCTTGCCTGCCCCTCTCGCTGCTGCCAGCTGACACCGGACGAACCCTGTTGGGGGGATCTTGTCTACCTCGACGACGCAGCGGGCCGAACGCCATGCGACGGTGCGGCAGATCCTCAACCACGCCGCGTGGGAGACCAAGAGGGTCCGGACCGAGATGGAGTGGGTCCGGGATCTGCGCCGACTCTGCATCGACCCTTCCCTGTCCCCCGAATCGGCACGATTGAACCCAGACCACTGACTACGGCGCCGCTCACCTCCTCGGCCCGCCGAGCGCGTCTCTCCACCATCGCTGGAGGTCTTGGTGCTGCACGGTCAGCGTCCTTCGAGTCCAGGCCGCGCTCTCTCGACCGATTGGACCGCCCATCCGAACGTGCCGACTGCTCCACAGTGGTAACGGCCGGTCCGGAGTGCACCTCCTCTGCTGGGCTTGATCGCTGATTACAGCACCTCGTGGGGATGGAGTGCGACTACAACAGCGACGGCAACAGCGGCGTTCCATCCAGCAACATGTTTCCCTCGTCACTCGACGCCGCACATCCGGCGACTAGAACGTCTGCCAGCCGCCGGCGTCCATGGCCTGAATGGGCGAGTCCAGACGGGGGAGCATCGGCAGAGCATCAGCAATCTATACCCCAGGCCTCGCCTTCCCCATCGTGCGATCCGCATCGGCCTCGACTGTCGCCACACTCACCGCCTCGATCTTGCGCGCCACAATGTTGGCGATGCCGTGGCCGAGGACCTGCTTGCGCAGCTCGTCGTAGCGCTGCAGGTGCAGCTTCTGCGGCCGGCCCTTGCGCAGCCCAATGTCAATCTCGCCGTGCGAGTCGAGGTAGGGCGAGTAGTTGTACGTGCCGTTGCCCTGGTAGAGGAGCATGATGACGTTCGACTTGACCTTGAAGTAGACGCCGATCGCGCCTCCGCAGCTGCCAGCACGACGAAGGGAGAGCGGGGTGCGTGCAGAGGAGGTAGAGTTCTCAAGTTAGTACCGCGTCCTCGACTTGGGATCAGCTCGGGCCGCGAAACCAAGGCCACTCACACGTCGGTATGGTAGTTGCACTCGCCGCGCTCCTCGTTGTCCTCCTGCTGGCAGCAGAAGCTCTGGTAGCAGAGGATCTCGCCGCACAGCAGGCACAGCGCGGGTTCGGCGGGCACCTTTTTGCAGTTCTTGCAGATCCGCTTTTGCGTGTCCTGCAGCAGCACCGCCAGGTCGGTCGGCAGCTTGGCCAGCTCGTAGATGTGCGGGTGCTCGAGCAGCAGCGTCGGGTGCGCCTCGGCGGCGTGGAGGTGCGACGACGAAAAGGCCTGCAGCCCAGAGGCGCGGCCGCTGGCGCCCGATGCGCCGCTGCTGCCACCGTCAGCTGCGAGCGAGGAGCTGCCGAACAGGCTGTTGCCCAGGGGCGCCGGCTGGATAGGCAGGGGCCGGAAGAGGGACGCCAGGGGAGCGTAGGCGTGCTTGATCCAGCCTTCCACCAGGCCAGCGATCGGCGTCTGCTTCTCGGACTTGACCGGCAGCGCCACCGAGGGCGGCGGGATCTTGAGCAGCGCCAGCAGCCTCCGGTACTCGCCCGGGCTGCCCTCGGCCGGCTGGACAAAAGGCGAGGCGTCCTCGGCGCTCGCCTTGGTCGTGAGACCGACGACCCTGTGCAGGATGGCGGCACGGCGCAGGAAGGGCAGCGTGTACGAGCAGACCATCTTGGCCAGCGTGTCGTCGTCGAGATTGTCGAAGCCGAGCGTGATGTTGCCGCGCGCGTAGCCGACGAACCCGATGATGTTGGCCACGGTCCAGCGGATGTCTGGGAAGATGCGGCGGGCCTCTGCGATATCGTCGGAGCTGACGCTGGCCGTCTTGAGTCCGACAAAGGCGCGACCGCCCTGGCCGACGCCCGAGGCGCCGTAGGCCTGCGGCCAGATCGACGGCTGGGCCAGGCCAAAGACGGTCTGGATCAGGCAGACGTAGTACATCAGCGCGGTGCACTGCTGCAGGCTCTGCGGCGTCGCGACGGCCGTCTCGACGAGGATGGTGAGCGGGTCGCGCAGCAGCAGCGGCGAGCGCACCGACTCGTCGCCGCCCCAGTGCGGCAGGAGCCGCTTGAGCAGGCCGCGGCGGATGACGCTGGGGCCCTCGGCGCCGGCGTGGTACATGAGCGCCAGCGAGCGGAGGCAGTGTACAAGCGACTGGAGCAGGCTCAGCGTCGACTCGCTCATCGAGTCGGCCACCGTCTGCTGCTCGAGCGGCACGCTGACCTCGTTGGCGCTCGTCGAGGGAGACACGCCGCGCTGCCCGACCTCGAGCATGGCAATCGTGTAGGCCACCAGCTCCTCGGGCATGTACATCTTGCGGCTCTGCGGCGCGAGGATGGTGCGCTGCTGGTAGCGCTCGCGCAGGCCCTTGGACGCGTGCGAGAGCGGCTTGAGCACCTCGACCAGGCGGTAGAGCATGTGCATCGTCGACAGGTCGACGCCGTTGCTCGCCTCGGCGCGCATGTGCATGGCGCCCATCGAGTGCTCGACGTAAAAGGGGAGGAAGGCACCGCTGCCATGGTCAGTCTCCTGGTAGTAGTCGGCCGCCGGACTCTGGGACGAGTGCTTGAGGATGTCGATGTTGATCTTGCGGATCCAGTCCTGGAGCGGCGTCTCGTCGGCCTCGATGGGGAAGAGCTGCTGGAAGCGGGCTGCGGCGCCCGACGCCGTCGGCAGGGCGTCTGCCACGGGCAGGATGACGTTGCCCAGGCTCTTGCAGAGCGGGCAGACGTACTCGGACCGCGACAGGTCCTCCGGGTGGTTGCGCGCGATCTGGGCGGCGTGGCGCTGCTCGACGCTGCGGCAGTAGGTCTCGAAGCAGTGGGTGTGCATCCGATGCCCGCAGGTGGACGCGTTGAAGCCGAAGCGGTGGTCCTCGCGCGGGAAGCAGCCGTAGGCCGGCGACGTCCTCGAGTTGGCGCCACCGCCAGAGCCTCCGCCTCCGACGCTGCCGCCGGCGGCCCGGTTCGAGACCGTGCTGCCCATCACCCGGCGGCCCTCGGGTCCGCTACGGTCGAGCGTGACGGGCGTCTCAAAGGCCTGCTGAAGGCATGCGGCGTCCTGCTTGGGCGTCGTGCGCATCGCGCGGCTCGGCTGGATGTGGCCGAGGATGCCGAAGGCCTTGTCGAGGCCGAGGTTCTCCTGGCACAGGATGCAGCTGCCCCACGACTTTTTGGCCGCTTTGCCCTCGGACGCCTCCCCGCCCGACGTGCCTGCCTTTGCGCCGTCACCATCGCCGTCGTCCTCGTCGTCATCCTCGTCCTCGAACTGGTCGAGCAGGCTCTTTTGCTGGGCCGAAAACTTCTGCATGATGGCGGCCTGGCGCGCCTTGGCGGCCGACTTGCGCGCATCTTCAGCAGACATCTTGGCGCCGTCGCCGGCACGCTTGGAGGCGGCAGTCCGTCCAGTGGCGGCCCAGTGCTGCGAGATGGGTGCGAGGGCCGTGGGCGAGGCGGCCGCAGCCTGCTCGAGGCACCATGCGATCTTGGCCTTGAACGGCTTGAACTTGTCCTCCACCTCGACTCGGCACAGCAGCTCCACGAGGTTGCCGTACGACGTGTCGACCGGCGTCGGTGGCTGCGTCTGCTTGTCGCTCCGGACGATGGGTGCCAGCATCACCTTGTCGGCAAAGTCGGCGCCCGCCTCGGTCAGGCCAACCATGACGAGCTGCAGCGCGGCGTCGACCAGCATGTCGGGGGCGTACTCGTAGTGGAGGTGGGTGTTGTCGATGGCAAAGAAGAGGATGCGGGCCAGGCTGCCAGACAGCAGCGACGATTTGAGAGAGGCGAAGAGGCCGCGGTCGAGGCCGTCGAGCTGGCACGGCGGCACGGTCGGCGGCAGGTCCTCGTCCTTGACCTTGGCCGCCGCCGCCGGGTCGGTGCGGGCGAGACGCTTCTTCTGGCGCGCCCGCAGCACCTCTTCTGCCTTTTCGCGCTGGTTGCGCGAGTAGTGGAAGAAGAAGGGCTGCACCTCGTCGTAGCACTCATCCTTGAGCTCAAAGATGCCAAGGTCGTTGGTGCCGTCGGGGGCGCGGAAGTTGGAGACCTGGCCCAGCACGCGCTCAAACGACGGGTGGTCGCACAGCTTCTCGCTCATGTTCTTGGTGATGTCGCTGTAGGTGCCCTGGCTGAGCGCCATGAAGTGGACCAGCTCGCGCCGCACCAGCCGCTCCGTCGGCCACGAGGCGATGGCGGCCAGCTCGGAGAAGCACGTGATGAGCAGGAAGAGGAGCTCCTCGGCGATAAAGACCGCCTGGGTGGTGTCGTAGACGGCGTGGCTGGTGACGTCCTTGCCGCTGAACCAGTCGATCAGGTCGAAGCGGCCCAGCATCGACGCCAGCATCCGCTCCGGGTCGATGGCGGCCATGCCGGCCTGGATCAGGAAGAGGTCCTGGTCGTACATGAGCGCGCGCATCGAGTTGTCGCGGAAGTGGTGCGCCTGGGATCGGATCGTGTAGCCGTTGCGGACCCACATGTTGCAGCGGATCTGCGACAGCTTGACGCATACGCGCAGCGGGAAGTCGAGCACGATCAGCAGACCCGTCTCGTCGACCTCGGGCTGGAAAAGGTCGATCAGCTTGGCAGCGCCGGTCTCGGTGCGGATGAGGCCAGCGTCGACGGTGGCGACCTGCTTGAGCATCTCGGCGAGCAGCCAGTGCATCGGATGGTGGAAACTGACCGGCTGCCGGTCGACGGCGAACTCGACGATCTGGTGGCTCTCCGACGGGTCCCGGTACGAGGCGGCGTGGAACTTGATCGGCGGGTGGTTCTCCGGATCGTTCTGGTGGAGCGTGTAGCACGACATCAGGATCGCCTTGGCCGTCTGCGCGTAGGCCGCCTTGAGCTGCTGCGGGCGGGCGAACGCGAACGCCTCGCCGTACGCCTTGGTCGTCTTGGCCAGGTGCGAGCTGACGTGGAAGACGGGGATCCAGATCTCGCTCTCGAACTCGACGTGCGCCGATACGGCCCGCCTCGCCGGGTTGATGGCATGGAAGAGCGAGAGGACGGGCAAGAAGTACTTGAGGTGGCTCTCGGGGTCCTTTGCGATCTGCCTCTGCACGCTCTCCGAGCCGAGCAGATAGCGCACATCGTAGAAGATGTGGTAGCACCGCGACTGGCGCAGAAGCATCAGGTGCGGGCTGATCTGGCCGCGCGGAGGGGGCGGCGGGGGCAGGATCAGCTGCGAGTTGGCCACCGTCATCTGGCCCGTGAAGATGGCCTGGAGGATGACAAAGAGCTTGTGGAGGAAGTGCTCCTCGGCGACGAGCATCGCGCCGATCGAGGGCACGCTAAAGAGCTGGACGGTGAGGAAGCAGATGGAGTGCTCCGGCTCGCGGTCTCGAAGGATGAACGTCTCGAGCACTTTGGCATAGGCATGGGCGAAGCGGCGGGCGACCTCCTTCTTGATCTCGCGGCGGGCAATGAGCGAGATGAAGAAGCCCTTCATCTCGATCCTGGCCGACTTCCACATCTTGGGGTCCATCATCAGCAGCGCCTCGTAGCGGGTGAGGTCCGAGGGGTCGAAGAAGTCCTGTCGCATGGAGCCGGCAGAGATGGGGCGGAAGGGCGTCCAGCTTTCCAGCAGCACCTTGGCAACCAACTGCTTGAGCAGCGCGGCGTTTGGCCGGAAGCCGTCGGGCTCAGAATCGCCGGCCATGGCGGGCACGTAGACCGACGACTTGGAGATGTCGACGAGGAAGTCGAGCATGACGTGCGCCACCTCCTCGACCAGCACATCGTAGGCGGGTCGGATCGAGACGGCCAGGTCGATCGAACCCAGGATCATGCCGCGGTTGTGCAGCCTGCGCAGGTCGGTCGAGATCTCGATGATGTCCCTGCCGTGCTTGTCGACCCGCTCGGCGACGCCACGCGCCTCGACCTCGGGCATGCCCGTGGCGTCGGTGACGGTATCGATGACCTGGCTGAAGCTGTGCTTCTCGTCGTTCCAGAGCAGCAGCGCGTACTGTCGCTTGATGGGTTCGGCCTCGGCCCCCGAGGTCGCGCGCGAGTCGTACGACGAGAGCCGCGGCCGCGAGCTCGAGCCGGCACCAGACATCCCCGCTCCGGCGTCTGCCGCATCATCCGCAGCGCCGCCACGGCTGGTGTCGGACGACGCCCGCCTCCGCGCCTTGCCCTTGGTGCGCGAGGTGCGAGCGCCCAGAGAAGTGGTGGAGGCCGAACGCGTCGGATTGCCGCCGACAGAGCCCGGCCCCTCCTGGCCGCTGAAGTAGTCGTCATCGTCATCGTCGTCATCGTCGTTGTTGACATCGTAGTCGTCATCGAGGCCGTCGGCCTGGCTCATTTCCTCGTCGCTCTCGTCGCGCTCGGCCGATCGCCCGGCGTTTCCGGCGCTCGAGGTTGCAGCGGCCTCTGCAGACGAGCTGCGTGGCGACGGCTCGAGCGTGGGCTGCCTCTTGAGCGTCTCGAGGACATCGGGACCCGAGGCGATCGACATCTCTTCAGGGGCGTGCTCGAGCACCGACAGCATGAAGTCGAGGCAGGAGCTGACCGTATCGTAGAGAGGGGTGCGGAGGTCTTCCGCCATCAGCCCTAGGTCGTGCTCGATCTCCTGCATGCCCGACGACTCCGGTTCTTCCGCCGGCTCGACCGAAGCAGAGGTCGAGGTGGTGCCAGAACGGGAGGCGTCGCCGCTGCCAGCTTCGATCTGCATGTGCTCTCCGCTATCCCCGGCCGCCTCCGCTTGCGTCGAGTGATAACGGCAACCGATCTCGCGGGTCCACGCCTCGTGATCGCCGCAGTCGCAGCAACCGCCGCTCGCGCTCGAAATGGAGAAGACAATGTCGTGGCCCTCCTTGGCGTGGATCGAGGCCTGGAAACACGGAGCGCACTGCACGCAAGTGTCGTCGAGGCCGCAGTCGCTGTGGTAGCCAAGCGGACAGTCGAGGAGCCGTGCAGCGAAGAGGAATAGGAGCTCAGGGCATCAGCAGTCTGATTCGATCTCCCTCGACATCGTGCGGCACGGCGCATCAAGGCGGGGAGGGCGGAGCAGCGGCGTACACTCACCGACACCGGTAGATGGCTTCGCCGGCCTGGAAGAGGTGGCCGCAGGCCATCCCTCGCCTCTCCTCGCCGTACTCGGGCCCTAGCAGGTCCGGGTCTTCGAGCTCGTCTGGGACGCCATCGATGGGGCCAAAGGGCGAGGAGCCGCGCTGCACCTGCTTTCCCTTGAGCTTGGCCTTTGCCAGCTGCCTGGTCTCCTCGGCCTGGGTGGTGGCGAGAGAGTAGTCGTGCCTGGCGATGGCATCGAGGACGGAGCTGCTGGTGCGGTGATGCCACTGAGGCAGGAGGTGGGCCTTTGTGGGGAGCTCCTCGAGCAGGCGAGCATACAGTCCTCGTCGAAGGCTGTTCTTCTTGGCTGGCGTGAGGATGTAGCTGCCCGAGTCGAGGGCGTTGGGCGTCAGGCCAAACTCGCGAAGCACGGCCGCGATCCGATCCCGGTCGTAGAGTGTGGCTCTGGAGCCGCTGCTGGACGACATGGCGGGCGAATCCCGATCGTGGCCGGGGCCGGTGCGAGATGGCAGCGAGGGAGGCGGCGCCGGTCGGATGGTAGAGAGGTGCGGCAGCTACAGACGGTCCACGGCCGAGCTGAGCAGGTGGCAGCTTGGCTCGGACCGGCGCGTCGGTGGTTGTTTGCGATCGTGCGCTGTCGAGGCGGCCCGTTGAATGCGGTCAAGGCCAGGGTAGCCGTTGGTTGTCAGTCGGGAGCTGCGCCGGCCTGCTTGATCTGGGCGCTGGGCGGTGTGAGCGATGAGATGTGCGGCGCAATAGCAAACGCGAATGCAAGGCGACCGAGCAGCTGCTAGAGGGGGCGGCGTCGGAAAGAAGCAGGAGCTGGACCGCAAAGAGAGTGACCGACGAGGGCTGGCGAGGTCGACGAAAAGCGTGGTGAGGCGGGCGTGGTGCAGGCACGGTGTGCGTGCGGAGAGAAGTGGCGGCCCTGATCGACTCGCTGAGTTGAGTCGGGTCGAGCGTCGTGGCGATGGTGGTGGCGGTGGTGGTGGCGGCGGTGGTGGTGGTGGTGGTGGTGCTGGTGGTGCTGGTGTTGGTCTGGGTCGATGCCGGGGCCGAGGCCGATGCCGAGAAAGTCGAAAGGGCTGGCTGGGCTGGCTGGGCTGGGCTGGGCTGGGTGAGGCTGGGTGGGGTGGGTCTTTGGCTGACTTGGCTGGCGCAAGCGCTGGCAGTGGCGGTGGCTGCAGCTCTGCACCGCCCTCGCCGGAGTCTGCTGGCTGACTGGCTGGCCCTGGCCCTAGCCTCGTCGCTGGCCGCGGGCTATGAGGGTCGACCTGCCCTTCGGCTGCGATGGCAAAAAAGGCAGGCAGGTGGAGGGGCCAGCAGGCTACGCTGCTTCGGCCCCCGCTAGGCCTGGCCTGGCCTGGCCTCGCTTCCCCTCCCGACGCCAGCAACCGCACCCCACCACCACCTCTCCTCTGCTCGCTGGCCATTAACTCCTCGTCGTCGACGGCACTCGGCGCCTCGATCGCGTTCAGAGCATTATCGCATCTGTCTCTCCGTCATTATTCGTCGTCGACGTCAAGGTACCGTATGTATGTACCCCTTGTTCTCGTTACAATCATCACCGCCGGCCGCCGTGGAAGCGTCCATGGCGGCCGCGACGTAGACGGACACCTCGCTCGTCGAGGCGACCCCGTGTTTCTAGGCCTCGACGACGCTGCACGAGCCGGCCTGCGTCCTTTGCGCCAGCCGCGCCGCTCGCTGCTTGCGCACCGCTGCCGCCCGCCCGCTCTCCCACAGCGTCTTGCCGCCCCACGCCACCCTGGCGCGCCCCTCCTTCCACCAGCACGCCAGCAGGTACGCCGTCACCGCCAGCCAGTAGCCCACGTACATAAACACGCTGCCATACGTCGCCGTATTGTTCCAGCCGACGAGCGAGTTGAGGATGCCCCACCCGGCACCCGCCCCCGTCTTGACCTCCGGGTTGCCGTAGTTGAAGTGCCAGATGTACCCATCGCTCTGGTAGCTGCCCGGGCCCGATCCACTCTCGGCCGCCGCGTCACCCACCAGCTGGATGTAGCGGTAGAACTGAAGGTAGTAGACCGACCTCGACGCCATGCCAGCGGCGATGAGCAGCAGCAGGCACGTCGAGCCCAGCAGAAAGGCGCGCACGCCCAGCACGCTGTTGGACCGGAAAATGACGAAGCCCACCAGCAGCCCGACGGCCAGGCCCAGGATGGCGGGAAAGGGGATCGAGCTGGCCGGCAGCGAGAGCGAGACACCCCCGATGAACACGAAGCCCTCGAGGCCCTCTCGCAGCACCGTGACAAAGGGGATGGTGAAGAGCGCCAGAGTGCCCCGCGTCATGCGCTCGCGAAGCCGGCCGTACCACGACGTCGCGGCAGGCTTGCCGGCGACGGCGGCAGAGTCCATCGGGTCCGCCTTGAGGTCGCTCGCCGGCGTCTTGGTGGCATCGCCCTGCTCGATCGAGCTCGAGCTCGAGCCCAGCTGCGGCACGGTGGTGATGGCATCGTGGTGCTGGTCGTCGTCGCTGCTGCCGGAAGTCGACGCCTTCTCACGCAGGTCCTGCTGCTGCTGGCCGCCGCTCTTGGCCTGGATCGTCTCGGCGGCAAAGGCATTGGCGAGCTTCTTGCGCCACTTTTGCTTGCTCTGGTTGGCGCGCAGGATGGCGAGCGCCATGGGCGTGATGAGCAGGACGGCGACCAAGTTGAAGATGCCCTCCCACAGCTCCTCGGCCCGCCCGTAGAGGTCGTTGGTCTGCGTGTAGAAGATGGCCAGGAACGCCGAGCCGATGATGACGGCGACCAGCAGCCCGCAGGCGGCGCCGAGCAGGACCTGTCGAGGGGCAAGAAGAGCGACAGAGATGATGGAAGATCGAGGGCACAGACGATTGGATGGTCAGCGGTGGCCTCGGTGCCAGCCTGGCAGACCTGGCTCGAACTCACAATCTTCCTCAGCCGCTTGATGAGCTTCTTCTTCTTTTCGTCGTCCTTTTCATCGATGCTGTTGGCCGGCGACGACGACCCGGTGACGGGCTTGTCGCCCTCGACGAGGTTCTCGAGCATACCGGTGAGGATGCCCATGACGAGGGAGGCCTCGAGCGCCTCCCTCGCCGCGATAAAGAAGATGACAGGCGCAAAGACCTTGTTGCCCTGCGCCATCTTGCTGGTTGGTCTCGGGCGAGAGGGGGGATGGGTCGACGGAGAGGGAAGACGAGGACGAGAGGGGGTGGAAGGAGAAGCGTGGGGGGAGGGGTGAGAACAGGAGACTTGCGCCGGCGTAGATAAGAAGATCCGGGTCAAGAGGGGAAGACTGGCGGCGGGGCAGGAAGGAAAGGGAGGAGGAGAAGAAGATGGAAGAGGAGGAAGGAGGTGGGCAGGAGAAGACGAAGTGCAGCAGCAGCAGCGCCTGCGCGCTCGCCTAGATCTGCGACGGTCCGGTGCTCTCTGGTCGTCGATGCACAGGAGACGAATCGAGCAATCTGATAAGCCCGGACCAGGCGGCGGTACGGTACGAGGCTCTTGGAACCTGATCTCGATCTCCTCCTCCTCCTGCCCCTGCCGCTGCTGCGACGACTCGGGTCAACTCGGAAGGCTCAAGGGCGCCCGACCGGCCAACGGCTGCGACGATTCGACGAGGCGTCCACAAGGGCCGAGGACTCTGCATTCACCCTTTGCCCTCCACGAGCGGCAGTTGCTTCGCCGATGAGGCTACGGGTAGCGTAGTCGAAGCATGCATTCGCACGTCGTCACGGTCATCAGAGTTGCGATGGAAAGCGCAAGGGCGGTCGCGAGCCGCCGCCGTCGCCTCCGGAGGACGAACGACAGAAGGATGCGGTTGGTCGCAACGAGGGCGAAGGTCTTCCCCCTCCCTCCCCGCTCAAACAGCTGGTTTGTCTTGGCAGCAGCTGACCTCTGTCCTGCGATTCGTCGAGCCTGCACGCGACAAAGGAGAGCACGGGTGACATGGCCGGCCAGCCGAGGGGCCACGAGCTGAAGGGGGCGGGCGGGCGAAAGAGAGGGCGAGCGAGGCCAATTGAAAGCGCGCAGATCGCGGCCATAGTTAGTTCTTTCGGGGCGTCGCTTGTCTCTGCGTGCAAGCCGGCGTCGTAGAGGAGCTGGAATGGGCGACCAGAAGTAGCAGAGGATGAGAAGACCCTAAGGCAGTTGGTCCAGAGGCGACGACAAGCAGAGGGAGCGACGACGAACGACGAAAGACCGACGACGGTGGGCGACACGCGCACACGTAACTAGGTACGTACGCACAGCAGCGGGCGACCATCTGCGAACCGGCGGAGTGCCAAAGCCGAGAGGGCCATGGCAAACTTTGCCTGCGGGTCGCTGCATCTTATCTGATCCAGCCGAGCCGAGGGCACGCGGCTAGTCTAGTCTGGCTCATCAGATAAAGAACTCGACAGCTGGCGGGCGGGCAGGCAGCCAGCCAGGCTGTCCGCCGGTCAGTCGGTCGGTCGAGCGGGCGGACGGGCGGGCGGCCTCGACCCGCGGTACCATGCATGCAAGCAGGCAAGCCAGCAGCAGCAGCAGCAGCAGCAGCAGCAGGTTGCACAGTCACCCCACCCACGCCGTTCCACCCTACTGTACATATGTGACTAGTTACCTCTTCTGCCTGGCAGGCCCGGCCCAGCTGATTTTTTTTTCGCTCGTGGGAAGACGGAGGATGCCCTCGTCGCAGCCATCCACCGGTCCGCGCCCGCCTCAACCCTCGTCGCCTTGATTGCTTGCATCCCCTTTGCTTGCACTTTCTTCTCCTGCCCGTTTTGCGTCCCGCTCCGCTTGCCCTTCATGGCTTGGCGCATGCGAGCGAGTACGCGACGGACCATGACAACCACCGGCCCGTCCTCCGGCCATCGTCGGGCGTACCGGCATTCTGCGCCGTGGCTTCACCGCCGCCCTGCGCTGCTGCGCTCTTCCTCTCCTGGGCCGAGTCAGGACGCTGCAGGTGAAGGCTTGCCTCTCCTCGATCGATCTTCGCGGATGCCCGGGGTGGGCCCGCGGTGGGGGCGTACCTATCAGATTACACGGATCAGCGTCCGATAACGGCACCGTGGCGCCTTTGATGCACCTCGTCTGCTCGATCCTTCTTGGCTTCTTCTCCCCGCTGCTGCTGCTGCGGAACCATTGGAGCGGGACGGATCGGAAGCAGGGCGAGCAGGCGGGCGGACGAGCGACGACGAGGCAGAAGGCAGGAAGAAACGAGGCCTTCCCCCCCCCCCCCCCCGCCGGCGGAAAGCTCTCACTTACCATCCCCTTCCCCAGAGCGCAGCAGAGAAGGGCACTCCCCTCCCCCTCATCTCATACGACCACGCAGACGACGAAACGACCAGGAGGCAGCGTCTTCTTTCCGCCCCTCGTGTCTTCCCTTCCCTCCCCTTCGCGCACACCCCTATCTCATCTCATCTGATAAGAAGACGATCCTCCCCTCGCGCCTGGCCCTTCCTCTGCGCGCCCACCTCGCTGCTCCATCCGCACCGACACACCGACATAGACGCACACATCCGGCATGCTGCTATCAAGAAGTGGCCTCGTGGCCGCCTCGTCGCTCCTCTGGACGACGCTGGCCAGCGCAGCGACCGTCGAGCACGATTGGTCCATCTCGTGGCTGCACGACCACAACCCCGACGGCCTCCTCTCACGAAGCGTCATCGGCGTCAACGGGCAGTGGCCGCCGCCCATCCTCAACGTCAATGCCTCGGACGTGCTGCGCGTCACGGCGCGCAACAACCTCCAGACCGGGGTGGGCGCCTCGCTCCACTCGCATGGCATGTTCTTCAACAACACAAATTACTACGACGGAGCCGTCGGCATCACCCAGTGTCCCATCGGGCCGGGGGCCGAGATGACCTACGAGATCCTCAACTCGGCCAGGGCCAGTGAGGGGCGCCGGAGGCAATACGTGAGTGCTCGCAGGCGTCGATGGCGATGATGTCCGAGTGCCCCTGTACTGACCCTCACACCCTTCTACCATGGCTTCATTCCCTCGCATCCCCCCCTGTTGCGACCCAACCCACCAGGGGACCTTCTGGATCCACGCGCACAACAACGACCAGTACACCGACGGCCTCAAGGCGCCTCTCATTATCCACCCGGACCGGCCCGAGGAGAAGCGGTACTCGTACGACGACGACTACACCGTCATCCTCTCGGACTGGTACCACCGCAACTACACCGACCTGGTCAAGGACGAGTTCATGAATAAGAAGAATCCGACGGGCGCCGAGCCGGTGCCCAAGTCGGGCCTGATGTACTTTGCCCACACGTCCAACAAGACGAGCGAGGCCACCTACCTCGATGGCTTCAACGACAAGGCCACGCTGCCCTTTGAGGCCGGCAAGACGTACCGCCTGCGTGTCATTAACATGTCGGCGCTTGCCGCCTTCTACTTCTACCTGGGCGGCCACGACATGCAGATCATCGAGGTCGAAGGCGTCGACGTCGAGCCGTACCCGGTCGACATGCTGACGCTCTCGGTGGCCCAGCGCTTCTCGGTCCTGGTCAAGGCGCGCAGCGACGCGACGCCCCAGAACTGGAAGATCCACGCCGACATGGACGCCGACATGTTTGACGTCGTGCCCGACGACCTCCAGCTCAACGTCACCTCGACCCTGTCCTACTCTGGCGCCGCGCCGGGCGCGTTTGGAGAGGACAAGGTGCTCGACGAGTACGCCTACTTTGACGACACCCTCCTCGTCCCCGCCGAGGCCGAGTCGATGGGCGCCCCGGACCTCGAGCACGAGTTCGACGTCGTGTTCGACACGTATGCCGACGGCGAGAACTACGCAGCGATGAACAAGGTGAGGTTCGCCGCTCGATCGTGCAGAGTCGCTGGGTCTCTGCTCCCGCGTCCGTGCTGCGGTAGCTGACGCCTCCTCCCCCGCCGCACTCTCCCCGGCGCACTCTCCCCGCCTCCCGCAGATCTCGTTCGTCTTCCCCAAGACGCCGTCGATGCTGACGGCCATGTCGATGCCGGAGACGGATCCGGCCATCATCTACGGGCCCAACAGCAACGCCGTCGTGCTGCCGCACCTCAGCACGGTTCGCGTGACAATTGTCAACCAGGATGCGGGCAAGCACCCGTTCCACCTGCACGGCCACCACTTCCAGGTGGTGCACAAGTCGCAGGACATTACCTCGGCCGATCCGGCCATCAACCCGCCGTTCAACGCGAGCCAGGTCAACCCGATGCGCCGCGACACGATCATGGTGCCCCCCGGCGGCAGCGCGACGCTGCAGTTTGTCGCCGACAACCCGGGCGCGTGGTTCTTCCACTGCCACATTGACCCGCACCTCGTCTCTGGCCTCGCCTCAGTCTTTATCGAGGCTCCGGACGTGATGCAGCAGCGGCTGCAGCTGCCCGGCGGCACGATTGAGCGGTGCCAGGCCGCCGGACTGCCCACGGGCGGCAACGCGGCGGGCATCCGCTCCACGACCGACTTTTCGGGCCTCCAGAAGGGACCCAAGGAGCTCGAGACGGGGTGGACGCCGAGGGCCGTGGGCGCGTTTACGGGGTGCATCATCACTGCGCTCGTGGGCCTGGCGAGCGTCGTCATCTACGGGTGGAACGACGAACAGGAAGACGAGGACGAGGACGATAGGTGAACGGCAGACGGCCGACGGCGCTGCTGCCGCGCTACGTTTTACGATAGACTGCCACGGTTTGGAGGCGACCTAATGAATCGAAACGACTGAAAGCCAGAGGCATAACCGGTAGAGATGCGCGCGAGAGAGGGGGAGCTAAGGAGAAGAGGGTGGGTCGCGTGCGATGGCCTGCTCAGCAGATGACCGTTGGTCGCAAGGTGAGGTGTCGAGGAATAAGAATGGCGTGCGTCGCCCGTCGCAGATTGTGTGGAGGTCGCTCTGCGCCCTCGCCCTCGTCGCACGGACCGGCTCAAAGGGTTGGAATCCCCGCCGTCACCCGTCGTCGTCGCTCTTTGCACTTCCACCGACACCACCACCACCATCACCATCGCCGCTCGACAATCCCGCTCGGGATCGCACGTCGACACCTCGACCCCTCTGCTTTCACCTCTCTTGCCCTCTCAGACATCCCCGCCACCGCATCGCCATGGCCTTGCCGCCCTCGCTCCAGGCGCTCTCGATCGGCCCGCTCGAGGCGCCCAACACGCTCGAGCTGTTTGTCGACTACCTGTGCCCCTTTTCCGCAAAGCAGCTCCACGGCGTCGAGCAGCACCTGCTTCCGCTCGTGTGGGGTGAGTCGAGCCCGTACGCCGGCAAGGTGCGCATCGTCGTGCGCCCCTACCCGCAGCCGTGGCACTCTTCGTCGACGCTGCTGCACGAGTCGGCGCTCGCCGTGGCCAAGATCGCCATCACCGACCCAAAGGTCACGGCCGACCCTAGCCGCAACGCCTTTTGGCTCTACTCGGTCGAGCTGATGAAGAACCAGGAAAAGTACTTTGACGGCCCGGCGCGCGGAAAGAGCCCCGACCAGATCCGAGGCGAGCTGGCCACGCTGGCCATTGACACCGTCGGCGAGGGCCCCAAGCGACGCAAGCAGGCTGCAGTCCACCGCGACCTCGAGGGCGTGCCGCTCGGCCAGTCGGTCAAGAACCTCATCCGCGTCGAAAAGGAGGGCAACGCCGGCAACGCCGTCGTCCCGGACCTCAAGTACTGCGTGAGTGGCGGCCGGTGCAGCGGCCGGAGGTGCTTCAGAGTCGACGTCCGCTGACCATCTTGCTCGTCTTGTCGCTCGCCAATTGCTTGCGTCTCTGGGCCGATGCTGGTGGCATTCTCGACGTACCACAGGTCAAGCTGGGACGCCAGAACGGCATCCACGTCACGCCCACCTGCCGTGAGTCTGCGCCGACGTTGAGGCCCACTGCTGCGATTGGCACCGCTGACCGCCTTGGCCTTGTTTCCGTGTATCGCCGCCGCCCTCTCAGTCTGGAACGGCCTGGTCGAAGGCAGCATCTCGTCGTCGTTTGGCGCCGACGAGTGGAAGGAGTTCCTGTCGAAGCAGGTCGTCTGAGGGGCTCGGCTGGCCAGTTGAACAGCAGTGAGGGTGGCGGCGGAGGAACCGCCCGATGGCAGAGCCTAGACAGCTGCTTATCACGTTCTGCAATGGAAACGATGCACGATGGATCCATCGGGCGGCGGTGTGACTGCCAAAGCGATGGCCTGGTACATACGGCGGCGCTCATCTCTCGGCCCGTGGTTGCCGACGGTGCATCGCGTCGAGGTGGAAGGGGGCTGCCCGGACCGCGCGGTGAAGCGGCCTGCCTGCCCTACTCTGGATGCGTGCTGCGTGCTGCCGCTTCGAATCATTAAGTCCGAACATGCCCTCGGAAATGGGCCGGGAGATGGCGTCCGAAGAAAGCGACGGGCCGGAACACCATATGGTGACGCTGAGTCGCCGAGTGCGCTCAAGTGCAACCAAGGCCAGGTAGGCATGCCGGCACGCATTCCGGCCTTGGAGGTGCAAAGGCAGAGACGGGCGACGTAACGTGGCCTGACGGCTGAAAGCCAAGAAGAAGAAGCGGGCCGGGGAGAGGAATTTTTAAGACTCGATTTTCGTCGGCCCTTTTTTTGGCGGCGTGGCTGGCTGCTGCCGGCCTGACTGAGGCTTTGCATCACTCTGCGCGCACAGCCCACGCGCTGCAGCACGACCCCGACCCGACCCTGCCTGCCCGCCTGCCCGCCTAGCGGCTGCCTAGGGTTCTTCCCTTGGCTTCCATGCCGTCCCCACCGCCCATTCTTCCCCCCTCCCCCCTCCTCTCTAGTTCTTCTTGCGTTGCGACCACCATCATCGCCGCCATTGTCGTACAGCGCAACCCGGCTCGCCCATCATGTCGGCTTCGTCTTCGACGGCCAACCTGGCCGCACCATCCCAGCAGCAAGAGCAGCAGCAGCGACATGCGCACCTCGACGCGAGCAACAGCACCGCCGCCGGCGACGCCTCGACCTCGTCGCCCTCGAACCTCTCGACCCGCGAGCATCGGCGCAACGCCAGCGCGCTCTCTTCGGCCTCGGCCACACCGGCGGGCAGCCGCCCCTCATCGCCCACGTTCCAGGAGATTGCCCAAAAGGCCGTCATCAGCGCCGTCAAGCAGGTCGACGAGTCCAAGCTGGATCCGCACCCAGACTCGGACCCGGACGACGACGACGACGAGCACGAGCGCGAACGGCGTCGGCTGGCGCAGGTCTGGGCCGGTGCCGCACCCACGACGCCCTACCGCCACCTCTTCGTCTCGTGGCCGCACCAGGCCATCAAGAAGACGTTTACCATTGGTGTATCCGCCGAGGACCCCAACCCGCCCATCTTTGACATGCCCCAGCGCGAGGTGACGGAGCGCAGCGCCGCCAGCTGCGTGCTCGTCACCAAGCACTCGCCCATCAACGCCACGGTGCACATCATCAAGGGCGTTCGCGACCGCGGCGACAAGAACCTCGGCAAGCCCGTCACGGTGTCGGCCAAGAGCGTGCTGGGCAACGTCGTCCTCAAGGTGCCCGAGTACCACGGCAGCCGGCCGCTGCACCTGCGCGCAAAGACGACAAAGGGCGACCTCACCGTCTTCCTGCCCGCCAGCTTTGCGGGTCTCTTGACCTGGAAGAGCGAGTCGGGCACCCTCAAGCTCTCCCAGGCCATCCAGGCACGGTACAAGCGTCTCGACGACCGCGCGCACAAGCACCGCGGTACCGCCAAAATCATCCCCAGCGTCGCATCGGGCAACCGCGGCGATGCGTGTGAACTCATCAACAAGAGCGGCACCATCACCATCATGGAGGCCGGCGAGGAAAAGAAGCACGAGGGCTGCTCTGTCATGTAGGCCCCGCCTCGCCCCGCCTCGCCGTCCTTGCCGCTCTTCTCAACCTCGGTCCAACCACAAACACCACATTTCGCACGTCAGCGTCTCGATCCTGTCTCGTCGTCACCGTCACCGACCCTCAGCAGCATCATGTTTCCCTCTTTGGCTCCATCTCGTCTCATCTTATCTCAATTTGCGGCCTCCTCGATCCATGCGGGCGCGGGCCTAGCGCTTCCCTCCTCGTCTTCCCATTTCGGCATCTCCGGTCAACGCCATGCCACGCCACTCCGCGCCGCGCCGCGCCACGCCTAGCCCCGCTCAGCTCCAGCTCAGTCAGTCAATTTCCGTCTCCAGCATCTCGCACACCTGCACCTCGAAGCTCCATGTCTGTATAGCACCCCCCCGCCTCTCTCTCTCTCTGTCTCTCTCTCTCTCTCTCTCGTCTCTCTCCCTCTCACTCTTCCTCTCGCGCGCGCTCACACACATGTTCTCGAATGGACTCTTCGTACTGGTATGCCTCCCTCCGCCTCGCCATCATCAAGTCAGGGCGAGGCGAGAGGGGCAGGAAAAATCGTGCGTCGTGATCAATCCGCTGATGGAGGTATATGCGTAAGTCGACGAGGAGAAAAAGCGGCGGTCGGAAAAGCTCGAGGAGGTGAGGGGAGGGGAGGGAGGATGCGTCGATGCTACTGCGGCGCTGAGCCCTGCCATGCCGGCTTGGCGCGCCGCGGCTTGGACGCAGTCGGCGTGCCGTTGCCCACCCTCCTCTCGCCGTCGATCCTCCCTTCTCTCCGCAGATGCTCGACGAGCGGGTGCCGCGCAACGGCAGACGCCGACGATGGCGGCGAAGACGTGATCGACGACCCGGCGCTGCTCTCGCCCTCCTCCTCGGACAGCCGCGACGACGCATGCACACTGCCTCCTCCTCCTCCGCCGCCGCCGCCGCCGCCGCCGCTGACCACGAGGTCCGGTATCGCATACGCCCGCATCGCGCCGCCAGCCGGCTCAAGATCCGCCGGCGTGAGGTCCACGAGCGTGTAGCTGCTGTCAGGTGCCGATGTCGCCGACGTTGCGCCCGTAGCCGCCAAGCCTCGACCCGCCTTGCCCTTGCCCTTGAGGCCGCCGCCGAACGGCACCGAGCCGAGCTCATCGAGCGGAATACTGGACGGGTTGAGGTGCGCCGGCGTCGAAGTCCAGTAGTCGTGGTGACTCGTCGCCGTCGTGGTCGCGGCCATTGGCGTGGACGCGGCGAACTCGTCGCTGCTGCTACCGTTCCAAAAGGGCAGCGACGAAGGCGTCGTGGGAGAGACGCCATCGCCGTCGTCGGAAATCGACGATGCGTAGCCCATCTCTGATGCAGGCACCGTCACTGTCGTCGACGACACCGCCAGCGCGCCCTTGCAGAGATCCTTGAACGACTTGGCCCGCGCCCGCAGGCTGCCTCCGACATCGGCCCCCGTCGCCTTGCTGCCGGTCATCGGGAGCGCCGAAAGCTGCGCCGAAGGAGAACGGTGGTGCGACGACGACGACGAAGAGGATCCCGACTGACCCCGTCCCTTTCGCCGGCGGGTCGATGCTTCGACCATCCGCCCCAGCCTCGCCTTGGCCACCTTCTGGTCGTTGATGTTGGCATAGCTGTATCCAATCCCGAGCCCAAGCGGGAGGGCAAAGTAGTGCAGGTCCGGGTTGGCGGCCGTCCCTCGGTCTTCCTCGTCCGAGGCGTCATCCGGCTCGCTCTGGTGGATCGAGCGGGCACTGCTGCGTCGCGAGATGACGGGAGGCGTCGTGATGAGAACCTCTTCGTCCTCGACCGAGGCAGCTGCGGTCGATTCGCCAGGGTGAGCCCGAGCCGAGGTCGACGCCGGCCTCGGAGTGCTGCCGCGATAGCCCTGCCCGGAGTTGCGCGACCGCCGCCGCCGGGAAGGCGCTGCGGAGGCGCGCCAGCGGGAGTAGAGCTCCTGGAGCATGATGGTCAGGACGCCCATGGCGACGATGCAGATGATGATGAGCCAGATCAAGAGGCGAGAGCTCGAATTGGGGATCAGCGGCGGGTGGCTGAAGGTCGAGGTGGGAGGCCAAGAGGATGAAGAGGGCGGTTCAGCGCGACGCACGATCGGGCCAAGACGTGGCGGCAAGCGCTCGCTGCTCACCTGATCATCGATCGCCTCGACACTAGCCTGGCCAAAGCCGCCTTTGACCCCTCTACGAACGAGGCCGACTCCTTCTTCCGTGCCACCACGTAGCCCGCTTCCACATGCATCCCGGTCCATTCGCTGTCCTCGTCGCCGACTGGTCCCTCGGCCTTGGAGAGGAGGGCGCGGTCGCCGTTCCCGGCCACGAGGTCATCGCTTTGCTCCGTCACCGCCTGGACAATGTCCGAGACGGTCCGCGATATCTTTTGCAGGTCGGCACCTCTGTCGTGGTTGAGGCGGCCGAGGTCCTGCGCCACCAGCTTGGCGATGGCGTCGGCTGAGATGCCAGTCCCCGGGCTGGGCCGTTGGGCTTCCAGGAGAGGGTCGGGCAATCTGCCGGAAGACGACGGGTCTCTTTTCCTCAGCCAAAAGGAGTCATCGAGCAGTGAAGCTTCCGCCGCGGATCGATCTGTCCCCAAGGCCTGCCTATGGCCAGACGCTGGCGCCGGTGGATCTGATGAGGGATAGATTGATGGGTCCATGTCCGGAACGCCGCGGCGGATCGATGCAGAGGGGCGAAGCAAGACAGGGAGGCACGAAAATGCGGTAGGTTACGATGACGCAGAGGGTGGTACGATGGCGACAGAACGAGGCCTATCGGTGCCTGGGTCGGTTCGCGCTCGGGTGCGGGGTGGCAAGCAGTCCTTCGAGGCGGGTGCAGTGCAACGGCATGACCTTCAAGGTCTTTTGGCGGCGGCGGACGTGTAGGCAATGAAGTCGATATCGGATAGGAGACAGCTGCGTGCGATGCTCGTGGCGATCCGTTGGAAGGTGCGATGCCGTTTGCAATGGAGCCAGGTGGAGTCGAGGAACGTGGAACCGAGCAGGAGGCGAAGTGTGTGCTGACGGATGAGGGTGGGCGTGCCGGTGTCCAAGTGGCCTGGAAAGGCAGGGCGGCAGAGCGGTGCCTCCCGGAGCTGTCCTTGAAGGGGCTAGCTCTGATCCGTGGTCCCAGGGACGGGCGAGGAAGAGGACGGGGGGTGAGGGAGGAAGAGGAGGGATGCGGCGATGGAGGTGGCGGTGACGAAGACGTGGGCAGGGGCAGGGCAAGGCTGGCGGGCAGGCAAGAGGGCTAAGTGTAGGCTGGCGTCCCTGACGCTTTGCGCCCTCGACCTGCCGAGCAGCCGGCAAGACGGCCGAGCGAGCAAAATGGGGGGGAAGAGAGGGCGCCGGGGCCAGCCTGCAAGCCAGCTAAGGGTCAAGCCAGGTGGCCGCCCTGCCGTTCTGCAGCCAACTTGAAAATCCCACACAGGCACGCGGCCGCCTCGCCTCTTCGCTCCGCACAGTCAAGATTGCCCACGCCCGACCACCCCCACGCCGGCGCGCAACGGTCACGCCCCTCTCCTTTGAGCCTCGCGCTCCCTCGCCGCCGTGAGTCCATCGTCGAGCGTAGCGATCACACCGGCCAAGACGAGCAAGGAGTGGCGTTGCACGGGTATACACGCGGAAACGGCAAACGGCAAAAAAGAAATACACACGAGGCCAAGACGACATCATCAAGAGGGGCGTGGGCAGCATCCTCTCCTACGCAGCCACGCCGTGGCTCTCGATGTCGACCGTGTACGGCTTGGTCTTATCCTGCGCGTACGAGCTCCTCCGCGTCGTGTCAATCGACGGCAACGCCGGCAGCTCGCCGCTCGCCTTGAGCGCCGGGTCGTGCTCGTCGCCCCCATACAGGTAGACCATCGGCAGCACCAGCAGACCGGCGCCCATGACGTTGCCCAGGAACGACGCGATGATCGACTTCCAGATGTACTCGCCCACGCCAAACGACGCCCGGCCCGTCAGCAGGCCCTCGGGGATCAGGAACATCTGCCAGACGAGCAGGTAAAGCGGGGCAGCGGGAGCAAACGGTCAGCTGACGGCCGCCCTCTTGCCCTCATTCGTCTCCGATAGCGTCCCCACTCACGTTGGCGACGACGTGCTCGAAGCCGGTGGCAACAAAGAGGAAGATGGGGAAGTACGACGTGACAATCTTGGAGATCATGTCGGTCGCCATCGAGGCCTGGAAGACGGCGATGCAGACCAGGGCGTTGCAGCCAATGGCGCGCAGCCAGATCTCGAGAAAGTTGATGCTGGCCACCTTGGCATTGGCGCTGGCCGCCGCGCCCGCCAACATCGGGTCGCTGTACACCTTGCCAAAGTGGATCAGGATGGCGGCGTAGAAGAGGGCGCCAATCAGGTTGCCCAAAAAGGTGATGGCCCAGCCGTACAGGAACGCCCACGGCGGCACCCTGCGCTTGATGGTCGAGGCGATAAAGATGGCCATCTCGCCCGTCACCAGGTCGGCCTGCAGCAGCACAATCATCACGAGGCCCCACGGAAAGACGGCGGCCTGGAGGATCTTGAGGAGGCCCGCGGCATTCTGCGCGAGCCACGGGTCGGCGGTGAGGATCTGGACCAGGCATCCGCCCGTCGAGAGGAGGAAGCCGGCCATGATGCCGCGCACCAGCCGGTGGCCGACGGGCATCGCATGGCGCTTGGGTCCGGTCTCGATCCAGTTCCACACCGCATGCTCGATCGAGAGCATCTGCGTCGACGCGGGTGCTGTCATGGTGCCGGGGCAACGGTCAAGTTAGGGATGGCGGGTGAGAGGACGAAGGCAGGGGGGAGTTTGGGGGTTTGGGGGAGGTTCAAGGTGAGTACCGTGAAGATGGCTCTTTATGTACCTGCTGGTCCGCTCAACGGCGTTTGGTCGATGCATTGCTCTGACAGCGATGTTTGCGGGGAGCGGGTACAGCAGACGGCAGTAACGGTGCAGGACCTGATACCCGCCGCCTCGACGTTACGGGGTAAGCGCCCGACCTTGCTCGCAGATAAGGAGCTGCTTCGTCCCGGATCTTCTGACCAAGGCGCCGTGCCTCGATCCTCCGCGGGAGGTCACGTCTGCCTCTGCACGTCGACCTTCGTCAAGACCGGGGCATGCGGGGCTCTGGAGATAAGCGCTCGGGTTGATCGAGATGCCGCACTTCGGCACAAGCCGTGTGCCGTGTGAGAGGCCGGCATCGGCGAGACGCGGCGGGTGACAAGGAGTGAAGGTGCGTGGTGCGATAAGGAAACGGCTGATGTCTGATGGAGGCCGAGTGCCACCGCGACGCCTAGTGATAAGGACGTGGTACCGTGGCAGCGAGCAGCAGGCGTTGGCGCGCGGGGCCAACCTCGGCAGACGGCCCCGCTTTCCTTTCCCGCGCGGCTGGGTCCTTATCTCGCGCCGGCCTCTGATGAAAAGCGGCTGCTCGTGCTGGGTCCGATACGGCAGCACCCGCGACTCCTCGTCTAGCTTCGACCATCGACGCCCTCTTCGACCCCGCCTGATAAGGAAGGCCCTCTCATTCGTCGCAAAAGATACCGCCGGCACGTTGCGAAAGAGATAAGTAGCCGTCGCCAGCCTTGTCGAGCCGTCACCCTCGGATGCCTCTCCTCCCTGTCAGCCTTCCTCCTGGCGCACCCTCCCGTCTGGCGAAGGAGGCGAGCGCCACCGTGCCGGCGGCAGGGTCTGGCTAGCCTTGGAACGGTCGGAAAAGAGGCTCGGCTGGTGAGGCAGACCAGGAGGTTCCTACTGAGAGGTTGGCGGTCGTCGGCCGCGGTGACAGAGATAAGACGGGAACGCTGGCGAGGCAGCCGACACAGACAGGCCAAGTCGAACCGAACAGAGGGCCTTTGACATTGCCAAGCTGAGATGAGCTCTCTCGCGAGCACGACCGTCGAGGCAGAGGAGGGCGTCTAGCGTTACTTCTTCTTGCCGGCGGTCAGCTTGGCGGCGGCGGCCTTGCGTGCGGCCTCGTCCTCCTTCTTCTTCTTGAGGAAGGCGAGGTCCTGCGGGCGGCACGGGCGGGAACGACGACGAAGCGTCAGCTGAGGGGTGGCAGAAAAAGGTAAGATGGGGGGCGGCATCGACTCACATCCTCGTCGAGCTCCTTGTTGGCCTTCTTTGGTGCCTTGAGAGGCTTGGCCTTTCCGCCCTGACGTCCAGACATGGTGAGTGTTGAGGTAGGTGTGTGGGGAGTGTCGAGCTGTCGAGAGCAAAGGGCAGGATTTGTTCAGTATCCATGCGGCGCGGGGCGCTGCTGCGTCTCTTACTACTCACCGGCAAGAGCCCTGGTCGTGAGGATGGCGAACGGTCAAGAGGATGGGGTGGGTGGCAAGCCGGCCAGCACCATCACGGCGGGAAAAAACCTGGAACCCCTGCGGGCGAGCCAACCAACCGCTCCACCTCGCCCAATCTCGGATCCGCGTTTGCACACCTCGGGCTTCCCCCTGCAACCGCATCTCCCTGGCCGCTGTTACTCTTGATCCTCCAGCTCTACTCTGCCGGAACACATGCTGAGCTCGACTACGACAGCAGCTTCTGAGTACGTGGCCTATGATGATCCTGTGCCGTGCCTGAAGGGTTGGACAGGCGGACAAGGCTGATGCCCGCGGGGCGGCTCAAAGGGGGTCGAGCCAGGCCAACCAAAGTGGAGAACAACACCGCCCGCCGCGTCGAAACGTGCGTGTCGAGTCCTCTCGCCCTGCCTACCTCTCAACCTCCTTTCACCGTCCGTCCATCCCCCCGCCTCTCTGGCTGCGCCAACCCCCACTCACTCTTTTTCTCGCCCTTTCCATCCTCCGGGCACCATGTCGGTGTTCGACGTGCACCGCAACTTTCCGGACCTCGACCCCGCCCAGGCCAGGCACGCGCTCCGCACAGCCGCAAGGGAGCTCCAGGATCGCGGCCTCGTCGCCGCATCAAAGTGGTGCGTACAGACCGTGCTGCCCGAGCAGCCGCCATAAGCTCTGACACGCCTTCGGGCACTCTCCCTACATCTTCCCTGCAGGGCCCTCGAGCTACTGCAATGCGTACCGCGGCCTCAGACGGCATCCGACATCGCTGAGCCCATCCTCGAACCGCGCTTCGTGCAGAACGCGGGCGCCTCAACGCCGGCAACGAGGCGCTCACATACCTTGCGTCCCGGTCACTTTCCAGAGCACTCTACGCCCGCGCTCGGTCTCCAGCAGCGCCTCGACGCTGGCGACGACGGCCAGGACCTATCGGGCCGCTTCATGCCACCGCCACGCTTCCCACCATCTCCGCTCGCCAACGTCAGCCACATCTCCGACCTCGATGCATCCTCAGTCTCGATGGACAGCGAGGGCGTCGGATCTGCCCACGTACACTGGCAGTCGACCAACAACTCCTACAGCTGCTCGCCCGGCCCCAGCCAGCTCCTGCCAGACGCCGACGACGAGGATCGAGAGGAAGACGAGGACACCTACGCCCTCGCAAAGTCGTACTTCGATCAGCATCAACTCGAACGCTGCGCCTGGCTGCTGGAAAACAGAGGCTGCAGGGGCGACAGGGCCACCTTCCTCCGGCTCTACGCCCGATTCTTGGTGAGCGTCGGTCGTGCCAAGAGCCTGCGCCGCAACCAGACATGCTGACAATGGCCTCTTCTTCATTGCCCCGAACAGATGTCCGAGAGGAAGCTAGACGAGCACGGCATGATCATTCCCAAGCCCAACGGCAAGATGCCCGCCACGAGCCCGGGTCTCGTACCGCTGCTCAAAGAGCTCATCGATCCTGGGGATCCCTTCCTGCTCTTCCTGTGAGTGGCCCGGACGCAGCCGAAGCGTGCCGGCCACCGCCTCTTAGTACGTTCCTGACCGCCGGACGCCGACACTTCTCTTGATCCTCGACGAGCGCAGAAAGGGCGCGATCCTGCGCAAGCTCCACAAGCCCGTCGAGAGCATGGACTGCCTCATCCGGAGCGTGCAGGTGTTCCCGTACAACTGGGCCGCGTGGCAGGAGCTCAGCATCACGCTGGAGCCGGGAGAGGTGAGCCAGGTCAACGCGGACATGTTCCCCCAGTCCATGTCAAGGTTTGATCGGCCAGGCGGCTGACTTGAGCGCTCCCGCTCCCTTTCGCCCTCTTCACCCGATAGGCCGATGAGATTGCGGACCTCTTGCCAGACTCGTTTATGGCCTCGTTCTTCCGCGAGTTCACCGACCGGCACGCCGCCCAGGAGGGCGACAAGAGCATCGAGCGGATCGACGAGCTCCTTCGCCACTTTCCCAGCTCGGCCTACCTGCTAACGTGTCGCGCCCAGACCCACGTCCATCGCCTCGGTACGTTATCGGCGGCGTCCCGGTCGTGGTAGTGAGGAGCGACTCTGCTCTGGATCCGGGCTGAACCCCATTCGACTTCTGGCGCGCCCCCCCCTTTCTTGCTTCCTTCCTCCCTCGTGCGGCTGCAGACTACATCGAGGCCGAGCAGGACTTTCAGCAGGCCTGGTCCATCGACCCGTACCGCATCGATGGCCTGAGCGACTACTCCAACGCCCTGTACCTCCTCAATCGGTCCGCCGAGCTCGCTCAGCTCGCCCACAAGTTCGCCACGTTCGGAAAGGACCGGCCAGAGGTGTGCTGCCTCGTCGGTGAGTCGGAAGCGCCCCGCTGCTCGATCCTCAGACACGCTCAGTGGACCCGCTGACCTCTTGTCACGCACGTTCTCTGTCACTTGTCCTGCTCGCCCGACCGCTCGCCCGCTCGCTCGCAGGCAACTACTACAACCAGCGGGGCGACCACCACCGCGCCATCGAGTCGTTCCGCCACGCGCTGCGCCTCGACGCCGGCTGCGTGCCCGCCTGGATCCTGCTCGGGCACGAATACATCGAGCTCAAAAACAGCCACGCCGCCGCCGAAATGTACCGCCGCGCCCTCGAGATCAACCCGCGCGAGTACCGCGCCCTGTACGGCCTCGGGCAGGTCTACGAGCTCAACGGCGCCTACACCTACGCGGTCCACTACTTTCAAAAGTGCGCGGCGATCCGGCCGTACGACGGCAGGATGTGGAGCTCGATGGGCGTGTGCTTTGACAACCTCGGACGGTGAGTCTGGTCGCATCGGCGATCGATCCGACGTGGCGCAGCGGCAGGAAAGAGGGAAAACGCATGCTGACGCCTCCCACCCCCGCCCCGCTCCGCCCTGTGCGTCGGTCGCCTGGCCCCCCTTGGCGGTCCTCTGTCCAGGTCGCAAGATGCGATATCGTGCTTCAAACGCTACCTGACGTGCCGGCTCAACCACGGCGACACCGTCATGGGGCTGACGCGCATCATCGAGGTGTACGAAAAGGAGCGCGACTTTGAGGCCGCCGCCTCCTACCATCGCCGGCTGGTGCAGGTCGTCGATCGCGGCCTGGCGGGCACCGAGGCCAACGTCGTGGCGCGCTACGTCCAGTCGTACATCATCGCCGCCCGGTGGGAGATGGGCGAGATCGGCAACCCGGGCTGGACCCGGGACCTCGAGGCGCGCCGGTCCAGACGCAGCGCGGCCAAGGCGAGGTCGAGGGCGAGGGCGGGCGCGGGAGAAGGTGACGTGCAGATGCGGGATGAGAGGAGGTCGGATTCGGCGCCGCCGGCGGCGGCGGCGGCCGTTGCGCCATACGACGACGACGATGACGTGGACGACGACGACGAGGCCGTTTCCCCGGACTTGGTCGGCAACCTGGCCCTCGCAAACGACTACCTTCAAAAGGTGATTGCGGCGGGGACCGAGATGACCGACCTGGCCGAGGTGCTCCTCAAGCGGCTGGCCTTTTTGCAGAACTGACGAGGCGGGAATGCAACCGCGATGCCGGCCAAGCGGCTGCGTCTTGTGCTGGTCGGGCGTCGGTCTGGCTTGCGGCGAGTGTGACAGGGAAGAAGGTGCGTTGCAGCGGCGTTGTGGGAGGCATCGAGGCGCGAAGCTCGGTGCAATGCCGAATGTGCCGACGCCGGTGCTGATCTTGGTGCCCATTGCTGCGCTGATGGTGCCGTCCGGCGAGGCTGCCGAAGCGCGTCGGTGCGCGTGATGCTGATGATGAATGCCGAAGCTCGTCGCGCCTTCGCCTCCCCTTTTGCCTTGCGTCTCCCCCGCACCTGCCCTTGGCGCGCGCGGTCACTTGAGCATGTCGTCGAGGAAGCTCTCGAGACTCTCAATCTCGCCCCTCTTTGGCATCTTCGAATTCAGCGGACCAGCCGCGGCGAGGGCGGGTGCGGGCACGGGGAAGCGGTGGATACGTTCGCCCTTCGACGCTGCCTTTTCCGGTGACGGCGTCGACGAGGCGAGCGGCGTACGGGCCGATGCCGCACGGTCGCCGCCTTTGCCGCCGCCGTGTCTCTTTTTCTTCTCCTCTGGCGAGCCGGGCCGGACCTGCTGCGACGTCCTGACAAGCGGCTCGGGCTTGAGACTGGCGAGGAAGCTATCGATCTCGTCGGTCGGGGGACCGGGGTCAGTGACGCCATCGTAGTCCTTTACGCTCATGGGCGAGCGACGTCGGCCGAAATCGGTGCTGAAGCTGCTCCGCTGCGACGACACCGAGCCGGAATCGTGGTTGCCCGACTGCGCCAGCTTCCTCTGCCGGTTGAGGCTGGCGTCGATCTCGGCCGCCACCGAGTCGCTCACTGCGCTCGTCTCGTCGTGCCGCTGCGCGCCCGAAGGCGACGAGAGCGACGACGACGCCGACATGGCGCTCGAACTGCCCCGGCTTGAGGTCGACGATGCCGGCGGCGACACGGCAGGCGCGGCTCGGCGGCCAGAAGAGGCGGGATCGAGCCCGCCATTGACCGATGTGCTGGTGGGCGCCATGCTGCCGCTGAGCGGCTGGTCTCTGTGCGGCCCGATCTTGATGGACGGCACCGGCCGAGCCCTGGCAGCCTTGCTCTCCCGTTCGCCGAGCGCGCGGCCCTGGAACCTGGCCTTGAGCGCACGCAGCGCCTCGGCCTTCTCCTTCTCCCTCTTGATGGCCTCGTAGTCAATCTTGTTGCCCTCGAGATCGACGTCCTTCATCTCGGCGTGCGAATCGCTGCGCTTGGCGTCCGGGCGGCCGTCCTTCCAGCCGGCGCGCCCCTTTGCCTTCTGCCTCTGCATCTCGCGCTCGTGCAGCCAGGCGAGGCTGTGGTCGATGTCGTTTTCGACGTCCGATGCCGTCTCCCTCTCGGCACGATGGGCTGCAATGTCGGCAGAGACGCCGGCCTGGGTGTGGGCGTTGGGGTCGAGGGCCTTTACGCGGGCGACGAGCGCAGAGATGTCGATCTCGGGCTCGTCGTCGGAGCCTTCGAGGTGCGGATCCTTTTCCGCCTCGAGCCTCGCGATGCGGGCCGCGTTTGACTCGCCCAGCTTTCGCCGAGAAAACTTGCCCCTGCCCGACGGTGGGGCTGTCTTGTCGCCGTCGGTCGTCGCTTTTCCCTGCTGCTTTGATGATGCCTGGCCGGCCGCCGCTGCCTTTTCCAGGCTGGGGAATCGCGGATCGTGTACCTCGTCGTCGCCGTCGTCGTCGTCGTCGCTGTCGCCGCCATCTTCCTGGTCGCTGCCGCTGTGATCTTCTTCGCTCCCGCTGTTCGAACCCTCTCCGTCGTCGTGACCATCATCCTTGCCACTCGGACCAAGCTGCGAGCCGAAGCGGCGGAAGTGACGCTGGCGGAAGCCGGGTTTCTGCGGCGGCTCGCCGTGCTGCGTCGACTCGCCCTTTGTGTTGTTGTAGCGCCGCGACGCCCTGGCCTTGTACTTGTTTTGCAGCACCATATCGACCTCGTTCGTGTGTGTGAGAGGTGGTCAGGAGCGATTTTGGCAGCGATGTTGCCAGGCCGTTGACAGGTGGTGGCGGGGAGGGTGGTGGGAGCGTGGGGACGGAGGTCCAAGTGGTAGAGAGAGAGAGAGAGAGAGAGAGAGAGAGAGAGAGAGAGGAGGAGTAGTAGGAGGACGGACGTACGTACGTACGAGAGACGTGTGTCGCGACGACCACCACACGACGACGCGGCGCGACGGACGGACAAGAGAGGAGTAGAGGCGGTCGGT